AAAATATTTGACATACCTTTTGAGCAGCCTTATTGAAAAGCACAACTTCACCTCTCTCATTGGATAAGAATGCACCATCTACCATAGAATCAAGTAAGTTGTTCATTGAATTTTCATCTTCTTCTTTTTTAGCAACCTTTTCTGATTTGAAACCATTGAAGAATATAAAATTCTTAATTTGTTCATTAGATTCCAAATAATCAAGTGGTAAGTAGCTCAACAGGGAACGAATTGTGGTAATTTCATCATCGTACACTTGAGCAGATCTGTACAGCAAGAAGGAAACCAAAAATAGAAAGAGGAAAAATACAGCAAATGTTACAATTGAGATAACTTTAGAGGACTCTGAGGTGTGCTTTTCGAGTAAATCTAGAATCTTCATTACTCTATCATAAATTTCCTCATTCATATTATAGAGTGACAAATATTTGTAAAATGTTGGTTCTACTTGGGCAGAAAAGAGTGGATTGAAATATTCCTCAGCCATGGTAGTAACTTGTGAGACGTAGCTCGATAACATTGCTTGTAATGAACAGTTTCTATCACCAGTACAATTTGCAGGTCCACCAACTAGTTCATCAATAGCTGGATATTTACCAACCACTCCACCACTACTGCCTCTAGTATAGGTTTCAATGAATGAATCGTATGAATCTTGAACAATGGTGGCAAAATCTCTAACTTCATTTCTGTACAGCTCAACCTGATCAAAAGTAACAGCAGCGTTAACAGGTCTTCCATGAGGTACACTAAAGAAAGCAAACATTTCTCCCAACTTAGTGCTCAACTTGACTGTAAATCTTGTAAGTACAGCCAAGTTATCAACAGAGGTAATGGCATCTTTTGAATTTGCAATATTCATTGAACTTTCAAAGTAAATTAGAGCTGCAGTAGCACTATATAAAATCAACAAAACTACTGGTAACATGATTGCTAAATTCTTTGGTTTAGACAAGAAGGTTCTGCCAGATTTAGAGTTATGATCTGGACAGGTCTTATCTAAATTGTGATAGATTACACCAATTGTATCTTTTGGAATCTTCTTATATAGCTTAATGATTCTTGACAATCTTTCCATTTCCAATCTTGATATAATGCTATACAATAAAATATAAATACAAGAAATAGAACCTGAAACTAGAATGTAGGTCCATAAGGCCTTATCATTCTCATCAATGTAAGTTGTTTCACTTTGTTGGAATGATTGACAAAATGATCTGAAACCTTGTGCTGCTTGAACTCTGTTAAAGAAGACAAACATAAAAGTAAAGCTAGAACTTGTGGTATTGAAAGCTTCAACCGAAAATTCACTAAAATAATTGGCATGCTTTGCAAACTCGAGCGTAATTTCACTCATTGACACATTTTTCATATAGTTTTCCAAGTAGGTTAGAGATCCGTTTTTAGAAGGAACAGGAATATAAACTTCCTTTCTTTGTGTATAATCCTTGTACATGCTATCTGTGAACCTGTGAGACCTAGAGTTTTCAGCCAATGATAAAAGGTTATCTCTCTTTGTGGCAATCTTATTTTCAAAATAGGAAAGATAGTTGTCAACATTGGCTCTATTAACACTGCCAACAGCTGGTAATGAAATTCTTTGATTTGTAAATAGTTCGAGCATGATTTGTCTCATTCTGACATATCTCAATAATCCCTCAGGCACAAGCATTGGCAAACAACTTTGAATAACTAGATTTGTCTCTGTTGCTCTAATACTATTGAACAGACCCAATCCTAAAGTTGCCGAAAGCGTACCCACAGCCAATACAGACAATATAACCAACATTAAGTATCTCCAATTAGATTTGTATGGTACAGCAAGAGCATTTCTATAAATGGCCTGCTTTTTTTCTGTTGCTTGTCTAGTATCAAGTCCAAGAAAATCTTCTTCTCCGGTTTGGGACATTTCCTCAATAAAAGTCATTTTTTTATCGGTAGGAAGAACTCTATTCGTCTTGTGTCTTCCCTTTCTTATAACTCCTCTTACATCTTCTTCTTCCAATAAATTAGCTTCGTCAATAAGAGCAGAGGCAGCATCTTTATCCATCTTGACAGTTTCAATATAGTTGGCATAATATCTGAGTATTGTTTTATCCCTACCTCTTGAAAGTAAAACAGAAAAGGTTTGATCACAATATTGGACAATATCATTGGCCATTGTTACAAAGTTTTCAATCTTGTCCTTGTTTGGTATTTCATTAGTAAATTCTTTGAAAAACATTTTGTGAATGGCCTTGAGCTCGACTCTCTTTTTCTCCAAGACTGAAAGAGATGATTTGAGGGAAATAGCATCAGTGACACCTAATTCTATAATTTTCATGTGAGTGGTAATTAAGTAGTTCGTGAAAGGATTCTTTGAAGATTTCAATGCCTTTTTGAAGAGTGTGAGAGAAAGAGATTGAATGTCCCTCACCTTGCTGATTGCAGTCGCGCAGAGAAATAGCATTCCTGTATTTATAAAGCTCTTATTCATTGCTTCTCTCTTTGCGTAGATAAGGCAGCGAGGAAAATCTTCCAGGTTCTCATCATCTTCATTAAAATCAGGACTAAATCGTTTTCTGAGGGATAATCTGAAGAATATTTCCATATTTCTTAACCCTAGAGTGTTCTCAATGAGAGGAGTGATAATTTGAATATCTTCATCAATGGATTTAAGGAAATTTCTCACTCTCTTGACAGTCACAACCAAGTAAAAGAACATGATTAAAGAGCAAAGCAATCCAAAAAGGAGAGAACAACCAACTGTCATACCTAGCATACCCAAAGACATGCCAATATCAGTTCCCGAGCTCACAAACGTGCTAACCAATACTCCTACAGCAGATCCAATAGAGGCACCTAAAATTCCCGTATAAATTGCATTCTCAATCATTCGTACAAAAGGAACTTGATAAAACATAACAATTAAAGGAATAATACCAATGACAATATGACAGACAGCTCTACCATACAAATAATTGGATGGAATTGAGAAAGAAGTCATTATTCTTAGTCCCACAGAGGCAAACACCAAAGCTACAGGAGTGTTATCTTGTGGAAGGAAGGCAATAGTACCAGTGCTCGAAAAGATTGGATATACGAAACCAGAGAAAAACATAACCATCTCTAGAAATATTAGAGCAATACATGCCAAGACCATAAAGATGATATTTGTACCAGCCACACATTCAGCTGAACTATCTCTACTCAACATGAAAGACAAAACTCCATCCTCAGTTGTGGATCGACAATCGGTAAAGTTTGTCAGAGCATACATCATGGCTGGGCCAATAAACAGGAAGGTGTGTGTAGCAATTCCCAATATCTTTGATAGTATCTCTTGAAGTTTAGCATTTCGTTTAGGTGTAAGATTTTGTAAATGTAAACATGTGAGGAAAAAGGTAACCAAAAGCACAACTATTCCAACACCCACAAATCCATCGTATGGTAGTAAGTCTAATCCCAAAGTCAGAGGGAAGGCCATACCTCTAAATATCCAAGATCCATAATATCCAAATGGAGAGGTTGTTGTATTCGGATTCAAAATTTCCTGAGAAAATGTTGGAACCAAAGGTAACACTATCAACAGGTACCAATAATATAAATTGATGGCTCCATACAATATCATAGATTTCCAACCATTATAACTCGAATTTGATTGAAGGTCTGTAAGATGTCCAGTTATCTTTTCATTGAAGGAAGATATCAAATCAGGTTGTTGGTCTGTTCCTGATTCCAATTCGAAAGAGAATTGAGTGGATTGACCAACAATAGATTGACTATCCATTGTACTACTGTTCATCATGTTTTGGCCTGATTGGTGTTTAAAAGAGGCGAAACTATCTTGCATCTTTTTTCTATTAATTAATCTCCGATTGATGTAAAGTATCGAAGAACAATAAACTGTAATAATCATCAACACTAGTCAGTATAGAAATTAATTCCCAATTAAACAATTTTCTGGAAACAACAAATCACAGAACATCATCTCTGTGTATTTGGCAATATTGTTTCCCTTGATGTCGTTAAACTTTTAATTTGTTCATGTAATTATAATGTTTAGAGATGGAGAGATTCATTATTGCCATAGTATTCGACTATTCCGAGATTGATACTTGAAGTTATCAACAACCATCAATCCTCATCTCAATTAGCAATTATTGGTGAATTTTTTTATTTTTTAAATGAAAGAAATCGGCGGGAAACCAAGAATGGTGATCTAGATTATTGGTTTTGAGTTAGAGAAAAATTGGTATTGAAAGGCATTAGGTCTCTTATTATCTCTCTGAATATCTTAAGATTTATAAATCTTCAGCAGCATCTTCAGAATCTTCGTCCTCTTCTTGGTTGACTTCTTCTTCTTGTGTAGCTCCTTCTTTCTGTCTCTGCAATTTTGCTCTTCTATTAATTTCACTTCTGGAAATAAATTCAATGTCTTGACAACCTAGCATGTTTTTGATAGATCCCAATTGATTGACAACATTTCTACTACAATATTCCTTAATGAGTGATGATAAACTGGTTTGATCCTTCTTATTTACAACGAGTGCTGTGAAAACATAATTTGGTTCATCCTTAATTACTTGTTTGGCAACTCTTGAGTAATCTTTCATTGGAATTTCTTCGATTGGTGTATTTGGGAATTCTTTCTGTAATTCAAGTTGAATTATCTCTTTGAATTGTTGAACTTTTGAGACATAATTATTCAGAGCATTGATGACAGTGTCATTGAATTCTTGTAGACGAATTCTATCCTCGTCTCTTCTAACAAATCCTATAACATCATCAATTTTTGAATCGAAACAATATTGCCATATTCTAGATTCTTTCAATTCTCCCTTACTGATAAATCCATTGGTTTTGTGAATGTTATTGTACCACATGGATTTGACTTTGAACATCCAACCATTATTTAACACAAGGACATATCCTTCGACGCCTCTTTCATTTCGAATGGCTTTCAAAATTTCATCCATATCTCCTGTCTTGGCTGCTTCTATGACTTGTTCATTTGAGCATTCCTTGACACAGTCAATGCCATATTGTTGAGCACTCTTCTTGACTTGTGAATATGGGAGGAAGTAACCATCCACTGTATGTCTAAGAGCCAACAATGATAGGAATGGTTTGTCTCCATAATCAATGACAATCTTGTGTTCCTTACTGAAGAATTCAAAGAGTGGTGTGAAACCCTTATTTATCCAATGAATGCAAAATCTGATAAAGTTTTGCACTTTTTCAGAGAGTTGAGTGAAATTGGCATCAATTTCCAAAGCTTGTTCATCAATTTTGAAAACCAAATATTCCTCCTCTTCTTTTGTCATTTCACTTGTCTTGTATTCGAAAGTTGGAACATTCTTCAAATGATCATTCAATATTAACTTGATATCCTCTCCTTTGGCATTTCTCCTTGTTCCTTCGTCTCCCAAATCATAAATCAACTCTTCCATACCCATTACAATAGCATTGGTATGCGACAATTTAGTTCTCATTCTCAATCTGAAAGTATCATATGCTCTCTTTTCAATTTTCTCTGCAGAAACTGAAGCAAAATTATTCTTTTTCAATGAGCTATTCAAACTAGAAGCATCACTTTCTGAAACAACTCTCTCAATAATTGGTGAACAGAGACTTCCATCCAATTTTTCCAACAAGACAAATGGCTGTTCCTTACCATCTTCAATAGAATAATCCTCCCTTGATATTTTCCTCCACTTGTGAGAGGTGTTGCAATTTTGGATAACACAATGTATCCATATCAATGAATACACTCTTCTCAATTGATTGAACTGATCCTGATCCTATCATCTTTAATGTAGATGATGAATTATTATTTGTATTTTCGTGTGGGTTTTGATTTTCGAGCATTTTTTTTTAAAGTTTCAAAAGTGCAATTTCAAAGTTCACGTTCAAGAAAATGCAGGAATGAGTGCAGAATGGGATTTGCATTGCAAAGTATTTAATATTGTAAAGTGTATAGTTATTATATTGATATTTAATTTTGTAAAGAGTTAAATAGTTTACAATGTTAATGGTGTATTAATATGAAGGGTTTTTTGAGGATCATACTTGATGAAAAGCTTCCTTTTTAAAATGTCAAAGATTTGATGTGAAATTCAATATTTTTTACCTGTCATTAATCAAGGTCCAACCTTTAAAAAAATGTCATTGAAAGATATTGAAGCTAATCCAGTAATTGAAACAACAGGAGATGACGAAGAGCCAGTGCAAACTCTTCATAAAACACCTTTGAAAGCCGTCAACAAGTCACTGTATGTTAATTTTATTAATTTTATGGTTTCGTCTAATTTCGAATAGTGCTAATCGATTGCAAATTAAAAGATACGATTCTCTTGATGTGATTGATCGTTTGGCAGCCATCAAAATTAGTCCTAGAATGTTGTTGGAAAAGAAGGAACGAGGAAATGTTGAAAAATCCATCGTAGAACTTCAAGATAAGACACATTGTAAGTGGAAACTTAGTTTCGTCTTGTTAATTTATTCGAAATAGTCGGAAAGTTAGAATTGGCAGAATTATTTTCAAAATATTCTTAATTGTAAGTTTCACACAGAAATGTTATTAGAAATAATATATTGGAAATAGTCATCTTTTCTGTTTATGATGAAGATGGAAATGGATTTATTGAAAGACATGAAATGTCTCATCTTTTATCATGTCTTTTCAATAAGAGTCTTGCTCTCTTATCGGATGTGAGAAAGAGTTTAAATTTGCCAGAATACGAAACTACATCACACAAAGTCATTGAACAAAGTGAAATTGATTCAATTGTGGATAAATGTTTTGAACAAGCTGAGAGGGATTCTGAAGGAGAACATAAGGGAAAGATTTCAAAAGAAGATTTCAGAAAGTGGGTTTACAATCAACCAAGTGTTTTGCAATGGATTAGTCCTGGTGTGAAGAAGGATTAAGAGATGATCAAATCAATACATTGTAAACATGTTAATATTAAATTGTATTTTTAAAAATTATAATTGAGAATGTCGTCATCTGACGAGTCAAGATATCCACTCAAATCTGGGATTTTCTCTTCCGTCTTTTTTGAATTTTCTTTTGGTGAGAGCGGTTTTGGAATGTCTTCTTCCTTATCCAAAAAGTCAAGCTCTTTATCTTCTTCATCGTCTTCAACAGGAATGGGAGAAACTGCAAATGATAATTTCAATTCTCTTGGTTGTTTTGGCTTTTCCTTTTGAGGAGGTATTTGTTCTTCTGTGGTGTCAATGAGCTCAGCATCGTCTTGATCTTGCTCATCATCTGATTTTGGTTTGGTTCGTTTCAATCGAAGTCCTCCACGTGTGTTGGTAACAATAAAGTCATTGTCCTTTTCTTCTGGATCTGAATTGATTACTTCCTCCTCTGAATCATAGACATCGAATAATTCATCAACCACATCAATAACTCCAGCATCCTTCGATTTGGTATAACTAGCCTCTGCTTCCTCAATTAATTTGAGATACTTTTTGTAGAGTGATTCAATCCAACTCTTTTTAGAAACAATCTTGTCCAAAATATAGTCGCTTGTAATTTCTTCTTCTCCTTCAAAATTGGTGGCAATCTTGTCAATCTTGTTGATAATATGTTGAATTAAATGGAATTTGTAATGTTGGAAACTATGGTACAATAAGGATCGTTTGTAACAGGTCGATCCAACGAATGACTTCTCCTTAGTATATTTACATTTTTTACCTGTTACTGCTCTTCTTTGTGAGAGTTGAATAAAATCATTATCCTCCTCCGAATCTTCCTCTGGTGAATCTATCCAGTTGATGTGAGCTCCGGATGAAAATTCATATTTAGTGGTAGCTCTTGGTGGTTTGAATATGAGTGTATATTCAGCTTGATGGTTCTTTCTGCCACAAGCTTGACAACACTTGTCGCTATTGTCAATTTCAGTATCCTTGAGAGAAATTTCTCTAGCCTTAATGATTGGATAGAATTGGAGAAGGTTCTTGTGTCTCGATTTCCAAGCTGAGCTATAAATTAAGCTGTCCTTGACCGTTTCCAATTTACCTTCCACCATTTTTGAGGCATTAGCAAAGTGAGTTCTATCTTTAAATTTGAGAGATTGAATAAAATCCTCATCCAGCAAGTGTGAAGTGATAAAATGAATATAGATTGCAAAGGAAGATTTGAAATCTGAGGAGAGTCTGGTATTACTTGTGAGAATGGAGTGGAACTCTTGTGAATCCATATCATTTTCCATCATGTCGACCATTCTATAGACGTTGTATTCAGGTGCTTCATCCTCTTCCTCATCACTTACAATAAATTGACTCATGGTAACCATACCATCATCTTCATCTTCACTGTCTTGATCTCTACCTTTTCTAGTACTTGTTGATTTTCTTCGTGGAGCTTCCTCTTCTGAGCTACTGTGTGACTTTCTTTTTTGAGTTTTTAGACTGAGTGGTTTCTTCTTCTTTTTAGCAGACAAAAGTAGATTATTTTCTCTAATTTCCTTTGCTAAATTTTCCAACTCTTCACTATTGGCATCATCACTATCCTCCTTGTCGAATGTGATTGTTGAACCGACTGGACTACCAGACTTCTTCTTTAGTCTCTTCTTTGGAGAGGAGAAGACTTCTTTTTCTTCCTTAGATGATGGCTGAGAGAATAGCTCATCATCATCAAATGTTGACTTTCTCTTTCCACTCGAAAATAAATCCTTTGAAATCTCATCCTCCTCCTCAATATAAATGGATTTGTGTTGATTTTTCTTTCTCATTGAATTTGAAAGTTCTGTCAATTTCTTTTTCCTCAATTTCAGTTCGGCCTTCTTTCTCTCCTCCTCTTGTTTTTCTCGTTCTCTTCTTTCTTCCTCAGTTTGTGGTTGTTTCCTCTTCCTAGCTCTTTCTTGTTCTTCCATTGCTTCAATATCTTCATCAGGTATCTCGTCACTATCATACATTTTATCATTCCTCAAAGTTTGACCATCTTCCTCTTCATCGGAACTGATCAAAATTTCCTTCTTTTTTATCATCTTTTTCCTCTTCTTCTTTTCCTGATAGACTCTTGTTGGAGTTTTCCTCAAAGAATAGCCTTCCTTTTCCTTTTCATTTTCATCCTCATCTGGTGTGAAATATTGAGAATAGTCAGAAGCACGTTGTTTACTACTACCACTGACTATTGATTTAGATGATTGTTTTGCTTGTTTTTCTTCATCTTCTTCCTTTTCAGATGCTTGCTCCTGTGTTGGTTGATAGGTTTTCTTTGATTTGGTGTTTTTTGTTGGAGGTGCATCACTCTCCGATGAGTAGAACACTGGCGATCGTTCGAATTGTTCTTCTTGTTTCTTCTCTGATTTATCTTCATCCTCTTCCAAATCAGAGAAATTAAATTCCATCTCTCCATCACCGTCATCTTTTCGTGATTCCTCTTCTTGTTGTTGCTTCCGAGCATTCTGTGATGACGATGAAGAAGCCTTCTTTTGTGATGTTGATGATTTACTATAATTTCCAATATTTTCGAAAGCTTCCCGAATGGGTGTTTTGGCTGTAACTGGAGTTTCGCAAACTGCTCCCAAATCCACACTATCCTCTATGGCTAAACTGGGTTGTTGTGTTGATTGGGAGGCTCTCCTCACCGAATGCCAAGCCTTCGAATTTTGTGTATTGTTGCTGCTGTTTTTGTTTGGTGCCATTTTTTTATTGTTGGAATTTCACGTTTTTGTTGGAAATTTTTTTCTTCTTAAAAGTTTGCTTTCCATTAATTGCTTGATTGTTTTTGCTTTTTTAACAGGGTAATAAGGGAACCAATACATTTGATATTAAGAATAATTGATAACCTGAATACGAGAATTATTTCTATCAACGAGTAATATTTCCTGTTGTCTTCTATTATAGCACAATCCGTATGGGTGATGGAATTGACCAAGAGATTTTCCCTTACTGCCAAATGTTTGTTCTTCCTGACCAGTAAATCGATCTAGTATTTTCAGAGATGAATGATATGAATCTGAAACGATCAATTTGTAATTGAAGGGACTAACTTGATCTATACAAATTCCAAAAGGGGAATAGAGTGAATTATTTCCAATCTCCTTGACAAGAATCCATTCATTTGGACTAATTTCTCTAATAATATGAATGTTATTCTTGTCTGGACTTGCTATAATTACCTCTCCAAACTTTGTGAAACATTCCACATTGACAATGTTCGGATTCTTCACATGAATTTCTTTACCCAATGAATAACTCACATATCGAGTAATTGATTGTAAGATACTTCCATCCACAGTTGAAACAATCTTGATAGCATGATTGTAATTATCAGCCACAAACACCACATTATCCCTAAATGTCTTTCCGAACGAAATGGAAATTGATGATGGTTCCTTAAATTCTGTCCTCCCACTTTCATCCAAAATTCCTACACACCACGTATAATCCCTATCAAGAGCTCCCAACTTGATATTATTGGTCTTCCACAATACCTTTAAATTCACCTTCATCAAGTGACAATATCCTCCAGCCAATATAAGAGCATCCTCTCTGTTCTTTTCTTCATCATTAAATTCATTATCATCATCATCATCATCATCGGATGATTGCTCATCATTACTATCTAGAGCTCTAGGGCTAGTACTAGTATTTGTTGTTGTTGTTGAAGAGACATTCCATAAACGAGATGATGTACAGCCTCTCTCCTCCACACACAAACCAGTTGGCATAAAAGCAACGGGAACACTTTTTCTATAATTCTTGGACATCAAGTAGAAGAACATGAGACGTTCATTGCCAAAATCAGAGACAACTATACAATTCAACCTTGGAGCAATGACAATATCATACGGAGAATGGAAGTGATTAGAAAAAGCAAAATAGGGTGTTGATGATGTTGTTATCATCTTTCCTCTGGTGGCAGATTTATGAATTTCGCTCTTGACTGGTCCTAATAATTGTTTCTTGTTGTTACCAGTGTATTGGAGAGAAAGTTTGCTCTTTAGACTTGATGATTGAAAGTCCGCATCTAAATACAAGGTGATCATTGTAAAAGGAAATGTTATAAGGTGTTGATGATAATATTTTTATAATCTAGTAATGTATTATTAATAGTTTAATTGGTACTGAGAAGAGAAGATGGCATGGGACTGTCGAGTTGGGATTAGCATGTCGTAATTTTTAATTAATTTAATTTTAAAAATGTTTAATAAAAATATCCCTTCCAAAATAGCTGAGACTTTCACCATCAAGTTTTAGCAACAAAAAGTTGGGGTCTGTGAGGATCGAACTCACGACCTTAGGATTATGAGACCTACGCGCTACCGACTGCGCCAAGACCCCTACACATTAATATGCGTATCACAAAATGTACTTATAGATAATAATCTATCAAAAGGCAGTAATAGACACTATTAGTCATCAATATAGTGTTATATTGACTTTCAGATAAAATCGATTTGAAACTTTACATAAACATTGAAAATTTAAGCTCATGGTCGTGGTGTGGATAAATCATGACAAATATGAGTCCCAATAAGATGCAACACTCACTTGGTAAAATGAAAAATATGGAAACTTCTATATTCACAATTTCGATTATTCTACATTAATTGTGTAACTTTCAAAACCTTTCGTTGTTCCCAATTTGATAAACAAAATATTGACAATAAAACGAAGTGAATTCTACAACATGCTAACTCTGAACTCATTGTAAAGTTTTGAAAAAACAAAAAAAACAAAAAAAAATGAAAAGATGTAGAGAGGCACCAGAACATGATGAAATTAATGAGAATGATCAAATGATTATTAATAACACAGACACTCCTTCATCTTCGGAAAGTAATGATCCGCAACAACAAATTATTAAAAACGAACCAAGTAGTAAAAAACAAGCCGTAAATCAAAGCACCGAATCGTATTACACTCTAGGGTGCAAATATATGGATGGAAGTGGAGTTGAAAAAGATAGTGAGAAGGCCTTTGAATGGTTTTCTAAAGGTGCAGAGCAAGGATGTTTAGAATCAATACATAAAGTTGGTTATTTCTATCATCATGGTTTAGGAGTAGAACAAGATTATAAGAAAGCAATGGAATGGTATCTGAAAGCTGCCGATAGGAATCTTGCAAAATCACAAAATAATATTGGAGTTCTCTATCGTTCAGGTGAAGGGGTTGCTAAGGATCTTTCGAAATCCATGGAATGGTATTTAAAAGCTGCAGAAAATGGTAATGAAATTGCACAGTTCAACATTGGAGCATCATACGATAAGGGAGTTGGAGTTGAACAAGATAAACCTAAATCATTTGAGTGGTATTTGAAATCCGCTAAAAATGGTTATGCAAAAGCACAATTCAATGTTGCATGTGCGTATGATTATGCAGAAGGAGTAGAAAAAGATCTATCCAAAGCAGTAGAATGGTATTTGAGAGCTGCCAAAAATGGTCATGCAGATGCACAATTCAATGTTGGATGGTCCTACGAGAATGGAGAAGGAATTGAGAAAGATTATGCAAAAGCTATGACATGGTATCTAACAGCTTCTGAAAATGGCAATACAGATTCATATACTAATATTGGCTTTTTATATCGTAATGGAAGGGGAGTTGAGAAAAATTTAGAAAAGGCTTTCGAGTGGTACATGAAAGGTGCTGAAAAGGATGTAAAACAATCTCAAAATAATGTTGCAAATGCATATTCTAACGGATATGGAGTTGAAAAAGATCTGAAAAAGGCACTATTCTGGCGTTTAAAGAGTGTGAATACTAATAATTTTAAATTTATTGAAAATCCTAATGATCAGTTTGTAATTGAGGATTTACACAATGAGGATTTACAAATTATAGATGAAAATGATATGGAACTAGTGATTATTAGATTTGAAGAACGAGATTTTAGACTTTCAAAAATGTATTTGAAAAAATCAAAATATTTATCAACCATGTTGAGCTCAAATTGGAAGGATTTCAATGAAAAAGATGAAAATCAAATTATTCTTGATTTGAGACCTATTGAAAATGATATTTTTCAAGAACCAACAAATCACATTCAAGTGTTTGACACCTATGTAAATTATCTAACAAGCGATACGGTATCAATAACGGATTTTGATATGAAATTTAAATTAATTGAACTGGCACGATATTTAGGTGATGACGAATGCATTTTAAAAATTGTGAAAGAAGCATCAATTTTATTGAGATTCTGCATTCTTTTCAAATTAGACCGTATTGAACAGATTCACATTGCTATTGCAAGTTGTTTTGCTGTGGGGCCATCGCTCACAATTACTGATCTTTCAGAGAATAGCCTTGAATTGTTATTGAACCAATCCGAAATTACTTCACTTGCAAAGCAAAAGATTTTGAAGGCATTTATCAAAAAATTTAAAAAGTTTCCAAACTCAACCGTTTTTAGTAAGTTTATATTAACATTTATTTATTAATCTTTTTTGGAAAGGTAATAGAATTCTTCATACCACTCTTTCAGAAGAAAAAAATAAGAAGGAGCTCAATTTTAACGATCAGGACATTACCTTTACATTGGAACAGTGCAAGGAGAACAATAAGCAAATATTCAAAATTAGGTCCTCACACAATCTTCAAATTTTTGGAACGAATGCAAAGTTTTATATTCAATTACAGGAAGAGGATATGAATAATTTAGGGTTCTGGTTGGAAAATGATTCAACAAATCGGACAGAAGGTGATTTAATATTCAATATACCTGACTGCGAACTTCAATTCGTTAATCTAGTCATAATGACTTGATTATGGTTGAATGATCAAATTTAGAGGGTAAACTTTACAATTGCAGAGATTTTCAGAGTGCATTCCCTTGGGTTGGGAGCAATGAAAAACTATTTTATTTCTATTTAGATTGTTGTGCCATTTCTAAATACTTCTTTGTAAGCAATTCTGGATAGCCACATGTTAACACCTGAATATCCTGAGATGAGAGTGGTAGATCCTTTTCAATAAGTTGCTTATCAATGTTGTCAATCTCTTTTTCTCCTTCAATATTGACAGTTTTATAATAAGCTTCATTCATATTCTCAAATTTCAATGAAAAGAAACCAAGTTCATACTTTTGAGCTTGTAGTTGTGTCTGTTTCCTAATTTTATGAGTGAGAGCAATAATTGCTTTATGAGTGTCTGAACTTAACGAAATATCTAATATATCATTGATTTTCAATTGATTCTCAATGGTTTTCAATAAACTTTCCTGATCTGAAGCATCGACTTTTTCTGCAATATGAATTTTCTTCCACTTTTCAATGCCTGCTTTCTTTTTTTTTTGAACCTTAATTTCCAAATCTGTCATGTCTGCCAATTTGATTCCAATGGTGTCTGGAATAACAATCTTTCCTTCTTTATCCACAATGATGAAATAACTATCATCCTTTGTCTCCATTTGATCTTTGTTTTCGGAAACTGCAAGTTGATATTCTTGAGCATTGATTTGTTTAAATCTTCTAAATTCGAAACCCATTTTTTTATGTTTAATTTTATGCAAAGTTTTTAGTAAGATTACTTCTTGATTTTGGAATTTTTATGAAAAAGGAAGATCAACATATTTATACTAGTATCATTTTAGTCTTGTTTCTTTTCAAGCACAAAATGTTTTCATATTGTATCTTAATTCAAATCCATTTCCAATGACGACTTGTTCAAAACGTGAGAAAATCGTCTTTTGATTACGGGAAAATCAAGAAGGGTCCAAGTTGTGAAATTAGTTCTACTTTTTAGAGTTTTACTCAAAGCCAGCAATAAGAACGAAGGAAAGCTCCAATCTGGAGTGGAACATACACCATAGCTTCTATCAATAGCAGAAAGAAAGCCATTGTATGATCAGCCGAATTCAATGATCAACAATTCAAAGTACAAATATTATTCTCTACCTCATCTAATCCCATTAGATGCAGTATCAAGCCATTTCATAATCTTCCACCAAAGTAAGAATTAAATAACTTCAAAATCATTAGAGTTTCAAGGCTCCTTACTACTTATAAAATATGAAGCTCATCCCGTTCAATAAGAGAAAGGGACACACAAGAAGAACTTTCTATACATTTTGTTGATTTGGGCACTCCCGTTTATTCCCCACACAAAAAACCCGAAATGTTTCTAATTCCTTGATAATCGGAGCTATTACAGTGTGACTATGGGGTCGATATCTCTCCTTTGCTGCGTGGAATTACTGATTGGAATATTGAGGGAGAGGGATAACAAGTTCATCCATTGATCGTAACATCTTTTTACTGCTGTGATCACAGTTTCACCATCCAATCATCATGAACTATGCGCGTAATTGAAAGCAGTAAGGCATGTTTACACCATCAATTGAAGATTCAGTGGGTGATATTCTTCGACTTAGATAAGCTGTATAAATACAGAGCATCCTCTCCATCTCTTTGAAAACATTATTCACAAAAAAAACAAAACAAAATGAACGCAAAGATTATCATTGCCTGTCTCTTGATCGCTGTCTTGTGCTTTGCCACTTTCGGTATGGCTGCTGTGAGTATTTTCAATTTTAAATATGCTTATTAATAATCTATTAATCCTTAATAATATTCAGGCTGCTAAGAAGAACCTTAGAAAGGCTCCAGTTGCTAGAAGAGCTTCCACTAAAGCTGTTAGAACTACCAAACCAACCAAGACTACCAAGACTGTTAAGCCAAAGAAAGCCGGTAAGCCAAAGAAGGCTCCAGTTGTTGTCAAGAAGAGCACTGTTTCCACCAAGAGTGTTGGTTCTGCTCCAGCTGTCAAAAAGCCTTTCAAGCTTAAGCCAATCTATAATTTTTAATTCAATAAAATGTTGAACTTGGAGCAATTACTTTGCAATACTTTGTTATTATTATTTGTAAAGTACGTTTATCAAAATATCTAACCCAATTTATGGGCACTAATCTTGTGGAGGACTCGTTTGTAAATTGAATTAATTAAGGAATTATATTTTAGATTTTCATCAATATCTATAGTAACAAGAGTTATTACACTACACCCCTTTTCCAATAAATCATCCATAAACAATAAAAATCCATATAGAGCTAGATCGTGAGAGTACTCTCCACATAATGTGTCATTAGAAAATTCAATATCGCTGCCGTATTGTTCCACGTGTCGGTAGAATAAAGTATGAGCAAATTCTCTAGCAACAAGATTGACGAGACCAACTTGAATCAAACTAAATTCGGGATCGCTCAAAATAACTGTTGTTGGTCTTTTTAATTGGTCCACAAGCACTGGCAGTCCAACTATCAACATTTCGGCTAATAAATTCATAAAATCCAAATACCTAAAGGATGTAGGATTTGCACATGCTGTAAACAAAACTTCCAGATTTGATTTGGAAGATTCTAGTTTTGGAAGATCATGATACAATCTGTTTGAAATAATTACTCGCGTCAAATTGTCAGAAACATATGGTCTATTTTTGAAATACTCATAAACGTACAAAATAATATCATTAGAAAGAGTGTTCAAAGTTTCTCTGTTCTTAGGGCTACATAATGGTAGGCTTATTAATTTTTTCATTGTTAGGTATGCTTCAGCTAATTGTTCTACTAAATCAGCTGTTGGTGCATTAGTGTTTTTCTTGATTTCTTCAAAATATCTGGGTAAAACTATAGAAATAGTCCCACTAGTACAGTTACTATAAATGAATCGTATAACATGAGCCAAACAGCCAAATTGAGGATTTCTAATTTCAGAAATGTATTTACCTGCTCTAAGTAAATAAATTATGTGTACTAATTCATCCTCACCCTGTGGAAAAAGAAAATCTTGACGTAATATAATGAAGGTAAAAAGAGTGAGGGCGTTTGCAACATTTTCCACATTAAAATTAATAGCAGCATTTACCAATAAGCGACTCAACTCGTTGCTATCTTGCATGCTCATTCTATCAGGGTCAATGAAGCCCTTCATTATTACACATATTTGAAATGCTGTTTGGATAATTGATTTTGGAAATTTAGAATCGCAACACTTGGCACACATAGACAGAAAATCAACACTAAAACTACAATTTTGAGTTAAGCGTAAAGCAGAATGTCTAATTTCCAAATCTTCCAATGAATCTCCAACGATACTAAATAATTCTCCAAGAAATGTTCTCTCTCTTGAATTCAATCCCTCCATTAGACTCAATGTTTTCTCAAGTCTTTTGGCTCTTTCTTCATTTCTTTCCATGTACTTTAATTTTTCAAATTCCAATGCAAAAAGCTTGGTTAAAGAATCACTAAAATACGTAATGACATGACTCTTTTGAGTTTCTGTATTTTCAAGGTGTTCAAAGATTAATTTGAGCAATTCAAATTTCTCTACATGCTTTTTTGGACGAGTGTTCAATTGAATTCTACCAAAGATAGTCATGCATTTATCGAACAGGATTTGTTCAGCTTCTCCCCATTTAGGACACAAAGTTTCATCTCCCCAAAATCGTCTTTCAAAATGACTTAAAAACACAAAGAAAGTTTCCAGAAAATCATTCAAAGGTAATTCCTCCACCGTTTCAAATGTATAAAAGGAATATTTAAATATCCATGATGGAATTTCTTTTTTAAATTTAGGGAATGGCCGAAATATTAAATTACAATTATTCGGAGAAGTATTTTCCATCATCATGAAGGGTTTCATCAACATGAGAGGAATTTCACCATGTTGAAATCCGAACGATTCATCCAATTCCGAATCATATGTATAAAGTAATTTGAATAAACTGGTCAGATCATCCGTTCCTTTTTCTGTGGTTATAAATCTGTCCAGTGTTTCCGTTTCATTATTATTCATCTCTTCACTAAATTGTAAATAGGTTTCATAGATTTCTCCAATCAATTGGTATGTATCACCTTCCAAATAAGCATCTTCCAAGATTTCAGAAATGAGCGTCCGAACTTCTTCTGTTAGTTCTAGTTGCATTTTTTTTTAAATTGCAATTTTTAAATTATTTTAAATAATAATAAATTCCTATTTTGGATTGTTCATATGAAAAAATTACACCAAAATATTGGCAACCCGACCCTGTTGATTGTTGGAGTAGTTTCACATCTGTTAACTCCAAGAATTTCACCACATCATCTCATCATGATTTAAATAATAGTATTAATAGTAATTTTTGGAACATATTCTACCATAAGGAAGATTGTACAAAGAAAAACCGGATTAAACCTTAGATTGACTAGTTTGAGTATTGTTAGTATCGGTATTAGTATTTGTTGTGTCTTGTTCGGATTGATTTCTATTGAAAAAATCAAAGGAAGGATGATATAAACACATGACCAAAATTGAAAATATTAAAATTCCCAAACAATTCAAAAAATCATAAAATAATGATGAATAATTCCAAACAAAACTAACAGCACCCAATCCAACTGCAATAATTTGAAAAAATGTTGAAAATATCAAAACTGAAAGCAAAATGATAATTTTCAGAATGGGTTGTTTCCATGAATAGGATTGAGATTGATCTTTGAATTGTTTTCTTGTCTTGTTGAGGAGTATAATCACTCTTGAAAATACAATCTATTTGAATTTCAAAATGAGTAATGAGTATTAGCATTTAGAATTATGAGAATGTTAAATGAAAACTTACTGAAATTGCAATTGTTTGAACAATTAATTGAATTGCAAAGAATGCGAAACAAGCAATCACGAATATGAACAATATATCTTCAATTACTTTCAGTTTGACTATTATGAGCATTACTAAAATTGCAATAAGCAAGACAAAGAAAACTCCAGAACTAATGAAAAAGGAAATATCGAATATCTTTCTGATAATTTTGGTTCTCTTTGATTTCAATATTCCTTGTGAATATTTGATCAGATTGAAGAATAGATGAGAAATGTAGTGCACAATTTCATTAATCACCAAGAGAGCTAACAGTATTAAAAAGGTTTCAATTCCATTCGAGAAAAACATTCCCACTAAATCAGCATATGGTATCCCAACAGTTTCTGTTGTCAATGTACTATTCCTATTGATCATAACATCTTGATAGAGTTGATCTGTTTCATTCACATTATTCACTTTCAAATAATTGTGAAATCGTTCAACAATGGAAATATTACAAAAAGTATAAGCAGTTCTTGCACACAATGCCAATGTTTGAACAATCAACAATGTATTCACGAGAATGAGAACAATTCTTTGAGCCTTCCTCAGTGTCTTCCAAGTTTGATTCCTCACAATGAAAATAATCATGACAAGAATGAGTGAAATGAACAACAAGATGAAGAGAAAGGAAATCGACTGATCTATGGCACTCAACAGAGTATCATCAAAATCATCAATAGTAAACACTGGAGAGGAGACATTGTTATTTGAAGAGTCGTCAGTAGTGGCAGTAAAAGTTTTGAAATTTGAAAGGTGGGCAAGTTTCTTCACTGTTTCTAACGAATGCAGTGTTATTTGTTTTTGTTGTGATAATGTTGGAATGAAAGGAAACCAATTAGATGACCTTGCAAGGCTGCTAGCCGGCTGTTTTTTTAGAGATATTCATACTTTTTCGATAAGTGTGAATATTGCAACTTGCCAAATATGGAACTGGTTTCCAGAAGATAACCATTGAACCGAACAACAAACATTACAATAATAGCCAACCAATGGTTTATTCTCTTTCCATATGCGTTATTAATCTGCGTCAGCTGGTTGGTGTTATTGTTTAATTTATCTGGAGCTATTACACATTGTAAAAACCAAAATTTTTTACGCTCGCCACGTTTACCGTCTCGGGAGGAATCGAACCTCCGTCAATGGATTCAAAGTCCACTATGCTACCATTACACCACGAGACGAGCACAATAGTTTGAATCTTATTTCCTCATTAACGTGTTTACCTCGAAATATTGAGTGTGATGAATTGAATATGGTTCAATTTTAAGACATTTTGGTGAACAATCCATCATTCAGGAAGGAAAAAGGTTAAAATTCAAGGTAGACTTGGAATAGAGAACAAATCCAACAATACAGGATTTCTGCCCATACTTTGAGATGTTATTTTTATTGGATTAAGCTGTTTTTAAACTTTCTCATCTTTTGGTTGTTCTTGGTGTTGTTCCTCTCCCAATTCTGTTGTCTGTATTTGCTTCATCTCAAACCAATGCCCAAATTCAGGTGTTGTCTTTAAGCGAGAAAATGTGTCAAACATGTTTTTCAATAATTCTGGCATGACCAATTCTAACATCTTTTCCAACATAACAGTTCCCTTCTTTGGAAGTCCTGTTGATTGTTTAAGGGAATTGGATGATTTTGTTTGTGTGGTTGAATCACTGTCATTGGAAGAAACGTCCTCATCCTTATACGAATCCAATAATTCTTGAAAGTTCTTCTTAACTGCCGATGGATAATTAACTTCATGAACAGAGGATGAAAGGAGGAATTTCTCTTGAAGAGATTTCAATTCCTGAGGGGTTACCTTATTGTTCTTTTTTAGCTTTTCCAATTCTTCATACATGATAATATTTTCCAATGAAAATTCATTTTTGGAATAGGTTCGAAACATTTCTCTAAATTGCTGATCTTCCAAGAATGATTCCAATGTGGTAACTTGTGCATTTCTGTATTTGGATTTCAGTCTTCTGAACTTGTTGATCCAGTGAGCAATTGTCACAGTTCCACCAATGATTGCATAGAACATGACAAAGAAAACTACTGTAAAGACCTTTCGAACAATGAAATAGGGAGTTCCATCCTCAACTGAACCAACAATGATTGGAATGACAGATCCCATCATTAAGATCATGATAAACAAGTCAATTCTGTAATAGAAAGGATCATCATAGAAGAAATAATATCCTAAACCTTTCCTCTTAATCATTGCAGCTCCAGTATTGATCAAGTCAACTATGAAAAATATCAATGCAAACAATAGCATGAAGAGAACTTCAAATCCCATCAATAGAATAAACAATTCTTGTGGAATATTTGCGGAACTAAACAAAATAGCCACAGAAGTAGTGACAATCGGTGCCAAACAAATGACAAGGACAATTAAGGTTGTAATTATGGAAAATACCATTGAAGTACATGTGGAAGCCAAGTGTTTCTGAATTTTGGGTGATTTGAAAATCTTTTTCTGCCACAAATCCATATTTTTCAATAGGAAAATCTAAATAAGGAAACTAAATAAGTACCAATTAGAATTGGAGCAGGAAAAACAGCAATAATCACAAGAATCCAATAAGTGGCCACTGAAAATTTCGATCTCAAAAATACAGTGTAACATGCTGAGATTACAATCAACGTTGGAGGTCCTAATAAGGGAAGGAGAATTCTCTTCTTTACAAAAAGTTTACAATCCAAGCAGTAACTCACACAATTAAAGAGGAAGATGAAAACTCCAATAAAAAATATTCCAAAATAGATTATATCATTGAAGATTAGTTTGAGAAGGTAAGAATCTCTGAAATAATATTGAGAGGCATACAAGTTGTAATAGCAGAAACAATTTGGATGAATCATGAGTTGAGAAACTGGTTTCAGATCTGATTTTTGAAGCATGGAGAAGTATTCCATATCATAGTTCGAGGAAGGTTTCGAATAGGACAAATATGTGTTAAATCCTCCATTTTGTAAAACATTTCGAATAGCTTCCACTAGAAAGGTTGGATTAAAGGTAGCAATAAGATTATCCATAAAATAGAAAGTGGAACTTGGAAGCATTTGAGTTAAACTTCCAGTAGTATTCACAAGATTCGAATAATTCAACATTAAATTCAAGTATAAATCAATTCTCAAAATTGCTTGATGATATTCTTCCATAAATGTTGAATTTTGTAATGTTTCATTGCAAATCCTATTTTCAGAAATGGAGATTGACGAAAATCCCAATCCTAAACCTTCTCTCATTTGAATTTCGTACACTCTTTCGAATAATTTACAATCGTTCCATATTTCCTCTTCCAATTCTTTTACAATTCCTTCCCTATTCGAAACTAGATCGCTATCCAACACATATTCCATACTTGTTGCTTTATCATACAGTGCATACATTGTAAACGTTTCAGAAATCGAATAATTCCAAACTTTATACCTCATCGTCTGGTCAACCATTGCATTTTTCAAGATAATTGACCAAAGTGGAAGTAAACTATTTGGGGAGAAGATGATGGAAGGTTCTTGGTTCAGAACAAGATAACTGTTATGGGCAGCATCGATTGGCATGTTGGAATCGTCTAAATGATTTATACTTGAACAAATAGAAGAGTTGAGATTACTTAATATGGAATTGTCATTTGGCGCCAAATTTCCACTGCTGAAAACTGAAGTATAAACGCAGTAAACATTGAAATATTCTTGGAGAGGTCGACTATCTGAAAGAAATTCCACTCCAGAGGTCATAATTGGTGCCAAATGATTGACGAAACTTGTGTAATACTTTCGAATAGAAACCACAGTGAAAGGTTGTGATATATCTCGCAATTGACTTTGTTTGTCAATGACATGCATGTTTCTACATTCAACAACACATGTTGACATGAAGATTATTGTTGTAAGCAAGTAGCAGCAAAGGATTCTAATAAAGTTTAGTCTTTGCATTTTTTTTGAATAAATCCAAGTTCTGTGGTATCTCTGTGTTGAACACAATACGTTGGCGCTCTATTTCTCATTGCTAAAGTCCAACAGGTTGGACATACGAAACCTTCGAACTTGATCCATAAATGGAAAGAATGAAACTAAATTATCAAGATTATTTTCATAATCCATTGCCAAATATCCTTTACCAAAAGGAAATGAGTAAATAATTGGAAAATAGAAGTTTTGAGATTTCTTTTTGTAATAATTAGCTTGTTTACCCTCTCTATGTTTTCAAACTGAAGATTCGATGAGTTTACAGCAAATATTTCTAGTCTGTCAACTCTAGCAGGCTCATTTGCAGACATTGTTTTTTGGGAAAATCTAGATAGTGTAGTAGTCATAGAATTGCATCACTGAATCTTACTTCTCTGGTACATCCTTATTGAACTATTTAACTGGTGGTTTCTTCCATTTTTTTCGAGATAACTCCTTGCCGAAAAGTACCAGTTGCAGAGAGCTTGTTTCTACCTGCAACTTCATAATTATCGATTGAAAGAAACAATTAACTTTTGAATTTGTGAATATTTCTGGAGTGCTTCGGGGTTTGCAAATATTTCAAGGAAATATTTTCTATATTTGTTAGTTGCAACTATTCTTCCAATTAGTAATCCATATCTCTCAAATTGTTATTCGTTTTCATTCCTGTAACGTTGTCATACTTCACTAATCACAAAAGAAAAAAACAAACAAAGATGCATTCTGTTGGAAAACTTGCCGAACTAGCTCTTCTAGTAAACTACCAGGTAAACGAAACGTCATCTTCTACCAACAATGTCTCCTCTCCAGTGTTTACTATTGATGATTTTGATGATACTCTGTTGAGTGCTATAGATCAATCGATTTCCTTTCTCTTCATCTTGTTGTTCATTTCACTCATTCTTGTCATGATTATTTTCATTGTGAGGAATCAAACTTGGAAGACATTGAGGAAGGCTCAGAGAATTGTTCTCATTCTCGTGAATACATTGTTGATTGTTCAAACATTGGCATTGTGTGCAAGAACTGCTTATACTTTTTGTAATATTTCCATTGTTGAACGATTTCACAATTATTTGAAAGTGAATAATGTGAATGAAACAGATCAACTCTATCAAGATGTTATGATAAACAGGAATAGTACATTGACAACAGAAACTGTTGGGATACCATATGCTGATGATATATTGTTCATATTCGTGATTGCTTGTTTCGCATTCTTTGCAATTCAATTAATTGTTCAAACAATTGCAATTTCAGTAAGTTTTCATTTAACATTCTCATAATTCTAAATGCAAATTATGAAAACTAAAATTATTTTGAAATAATGAATAGATTGTGTTTTCAAGAGTGATTATACTCCTCAACAAGACAAGAAAACAATTCAAAGATCAATCTCAATCCTATTCATGGAAACAACCCATTTTGAAAATTATCATTTTGCTTTCAGTTTTGATATTTTCAACATTTTTTCAAATTATTGCAGTTGGATTGGGTGCTGTTAGTTTTGTCTGGAATTATTCATCATTGTTTTATGATTTTTTGAATTGTTTGGGAATTTTAATATTTTCAATTTTGGTCATGTGTTTATATCATCCTTCCTTTGATTTTTTCAATAGAAATCAATCCGAACAAGACACAACAACAACTAATACTAATACTACTACCTATACTCAAACTAGTCAATCTAAGGTTTAATCCGGTTTTTCTTTGTACATTCCGAAAACAATCATTTGTAATTTATGGATGATGTATGGGCACTAATACATTAAATTATTGCCAAAAATTACAAATAATACTGAAACAATATGGCTAGTTAAATTGATGATGATAATGCTCTAATATCAATTATGAGAAATTAATAATGGCCTCCGACTATGGTTGTTAAGAATATGAAGAGAACATTCTTGTTTTTTTAATTTTAATTTTAAAAAAAATTAATAATTAACAAAATGATGATGGCTTTGGATTTTAAACCCGCATCAAATTCATAAAAAAGACAACACGATGAAGAATTTTAATTTATTACACCCGAATGCAAAGATCGTTCGATAGTACAAAAGATGTGTTAGATTACTCACGACAATATTAGTAAAAACTTGTGATTGATTCATAATTGGAGATGGTATTGATGAGGGATGATCTGATAGATACCCACCCAGGACGACAAAAAACAAAATTGAAATTAAATAGAATTAATTTTTAAAGCTAGATTGATGTCGAATATGATTACAAAGTTTATTTACAGGAATGTTAGGAAAATTGAAATTCTCAATCCATGAATGAGAACATTGGATATGCTTTACACCTTGAAAGAACACTCATGCCATCCATCTTTTCATGGGATGATTCAATTGTAGTATCCTTGAAAAAGATTGATTTTGATGAATTTCCTTCCTTTTCTGAAATTGTTAATTTTTTAGATTTTGCATCAAATTTAAGTTTACAATGGTTTAATTTGAGACAATCCCTTAAATATACTTCCAAATCCTTAACTGTCTTATCAGAGTGGAAATTCAACCAAACAATTGCTTGTTTGCATAGTAATTCCTTGTCGCCAATCATATCAAACATTGTGAAATTGTGATCCATAATTTCGTTAGTTAAATTCATATCCACAGATTGATTAGAAGATTTTGAAATGTCATCCTCAAGAACGTTTCGAAACATGACTGGTAATGCATATGATTTTTCTTCATCTTCAATAATTACTGGTGTGTCATTTCTGTGGACAAGTGACATTGAAAATAATCTCCGCACTTGTTGTTTGGAAGAACATCTTTGCATCAATTTGAAAGACTTTGATAGCAGACTATTCATTTTTTTCTTCTTGCTATCAATTTTCCTCTCCTTTCGTTCAAATTTATTATCTTTCCATTTTTGGATAATTACCAAACACGTGAAATTGCTCAGATGAAGTCATTTAATTAATTTGATAATTTCATAACTTGAGATTATGAGAATGATATTTTGCACTTTCAATTTTGTAATTTCTCCTGAATATAATATTTTTCAATATGCCAAAAAAGTAAACAATCGCAAAATTAAATAATTTAATATTATTTTCAATATTATTTTTACCAATTATATTTTTTATGTATTGCAACATTCAATTTATTTATTTGCAAAGAAACAATCAATTATCATCTCTGCAGTTACAATACCAGAAATGGTTCCGTCATTGTCAGAGACAAAATAGGAAATTCTCAATTTGGGATCCATAAATAGTAGTAATTAATGAAAATTTTTACATTTTCAAATAGAAAAAAATCAACGAAATGGCCTCCACCTACCTCCCTAACGAACCAATTTACTTTATCGAAAATGCGTAAGAGTCCTTCACACCTTCACTTGAATTCAATGCTTTACAATCGGTATCTTTAATGACGTTGTTTTAATGAAATTGAATCAATTTTCCAATGAATTGACATCAGTTTCGTCGATAATCATGGTAAATTACACTGTATGACCACTCCAACTCTCTCAAATCCACCACCAATCACCATTGAAGAATTATTACAAGATGATTGCATGAAGAAAGGAGCTTCCATTGATGGATCTTCAGTTGGATTTGCATTGGTTAATCAGAGTGATCTTCGTTTGAGACCAGATCCAAAAGCAATCTTTGAATTACCTCCAATTTCAATGATTTCCAATCCAAATCCTGAATCTGTCAATTGTCCAATGTTAAAAAAGCCAATGAGAAGAATTGTTGTCTTGTGCCACGTTGTTGGTAAAGATTCTGGAGCTCATTTTGATTCTGATTGTAGATATATCTTGGAAAGAACTGTTGAAAAGTATTTGACAGCAAAGAATAGAAGAATGACATTCAAGATTGAACCTGAATTCTACTTGTTAGATAAGGAAACTAGAAAACCACTCGATCAATGTAAATATTCAACCATGTATCCATTTGCTAAGGGACAAGCTTTCATTATGGACCTTTCTTTGGAATGTAGACGATTGAATATTCCAGTTCAAGTTTTGCATCACGAATGTGGAATAGGTCAATACGAAATTGAAATGAATCATGTTGATTTGTTGAAACAAGCTGATAATTTGGTCATGTTCAAGTCATTGTCTCATGTGATTGCTGACAGACATGGATTGGAAATTAATTTCATGCCAAAACCATTCAGAGATCAAGCTGGAAGTGGACAACATATTCACATGAGAATGTTCAAGCAAGACGAAACTGGAAAGGAAATCAACGCCTTTGGTAACTTTGAAGGAGCTCAAGATGAATTGGGAGCTCAAGGAAAATCCTACGTTGCCGGCATTTTGAAACATGTGAAGGGAATTACAGCCATTGCCAATCCAACCATCAATTCCTATAAGAGATTGGTGAATGGATTTGAAGCTCCAACCATTGCCTGTTGGGGATACAAGAATAGAACTGCCCTATTGAGAGTTCCACTCTTTACCAGTGCCAATGATGCTGCAGTTGAGATTCGTTCACCAGATCTCCTCTCCAATCCCTATCTTTTATTTAGTGTCTTAATTGCTGCTGGTGTTCAAGGCATGGAAGATCAATTGGAAGCACCACCTGCCAGAACAGACAATGTCTTTGACTATTCGGATGAGGAATTGAAGAAGGAAGGTCTCGAACTATTACCTGAAAATTTATTGGAAGCCATTAAGGAATTTGAAAAGGATCCACTCATGAAGGAAGTTTTCCTGGAGCATAATTTCAACATGTTCAAGATGGCTAAGAGAGCAGAATGGGATAAATATGTGCATCATTGTGTGACTGATTGGGAATTTGAAAGGTATTCGAATTTCATGTAATAAAACGATTCGCTCAATCTTTTCGAAATTGTTGAATTTTTCATGGATACGAGAGAGATTGAATTTCATTCTAAAATTGAAATTTTTTAATCATGTTAACATTTCAATTTTTCTTAATAAGAAGTTTCGATTTACAAAACTTTAATAAATCCAATGGGGAATAATATTGTTGAGTGGGAATAATATTTCATATAAACCAAAGTTATCTCTCACCATCATCTCTATCCAGAGTTGTTATTTTAATAAGATATGTTAAGCTTGGATTCACATCTCCCGCCAAAAGTGAACATATTCAAAATAGCCTTAATTGGAATTTAAAGTTTTGCTGTTAAACCACAAATCAAAAAAAAATAAAACGACAAGAATTGAGGTGTTTGCGAGTCCACACCAAACTGAAGTCAACTAAATATAGATTAGTTTCGAATATTAAGAATGGGTTCTGCTGCATCGTATTATGAGTCTCTGGTAGAGATTCCTGAAATTATGAATAACGATCAAGAAGAATCTACTGGGGTGAATTCAATTTCAAGAGTTTCGTTTCAATTACCTCCCAAGAAACTATTCGAAACTCAATCTCCCTCTCCAAAACATCTTTTGCCACCGTCGCCTAGCAAGGTTTTTCTCCAACCAATTCAAAATCCCTTTCCTGCCAAAGCAAGTTTCGTCCAATTTCCACAAAATGATTCGTCTCCTCCAGCCCAACAACAACCAATTAGACGATACAAATTCTCATCATCACCTAGGTCAACCATGAAAGAAAACACTGATAAGAGTCCTTTCCAACAATTGATTCGAAACTAGACGAATCAACAAACCATCAATCTACAGTTTCGACTGGGTTCACTGTAGATGAAAATTACATCCAGAGAAGAAAATTAGACAAGTATATCCACACAAAACAATGTAATGCGAGTGAAGAATTGTTTCGTCTGCGTCAATATCAGTTTCCAATATCAAATAAATTGGTCATGCAGTGAAAATTTATGGAAAGTTTTGTTATTCGGCTCAATCTCTCTTTCGCCGAATGTCGACGTTCTAAAATCGGCAAGTAATTTGACCTTAGTTATAGAATAAGAAACCATTCGAATAATTAAATATTACTTTAAAATACCAGTGGAGATTAATCTCTTTTCATCCCGAGTGTGATTTCTACGTAATTTTGTTGCAGTAAGTGTTGGTGGCGGAAATATTTCACAGTGAACAGAAACTACAGTTCTAACATTAAACTACAGTAATATTAACATTATTCGAAACCAAAGAACAATTTCAATCAGTACGCTTCTTCGTTATGGGAGAACTGTCATCTTCCTAAAATGTCTCCAAATCAACAAATTCTCATTTACTTTACCACATGAGGATCTTAATTTTAAAATACCGCTTCATGCAAGAACGTAACAATTGACCATCGATTTTTCACATGAGTCAAAAATTTAGTGCGCGAAAGAGTGGACGTACTTTACAAATGACTTTTATGTTTGATATTTAACAAAGCTGCAATGCTTGAATGTTTGAATTTGGGAATTTTCCAACCAGTTTCCAATGGAGTTGTTAGAAGTACGAAACTAATTGTAAATAAGATGAAGGACTCCTTTTCTCAATCTCTTACATGCTCTATTACATTAACCCAACAGCGCGCACATTTAATCTTCATCTTCTTATCACACACAAGCTATTCAAAACTATTGTGATATTAATAACCCTCCATACTATTGAATATCCAAACTCAAAAAAACAATCCAACTCAATCACCTCCCAAAATGCAGCAACAAGAGAATATCACAGAACATCCTTCTCTTTCCACTCCTTCGAATTCACTCCATGAAAAGTCAACCATCCAAAATGTCATTGAAGAACTTCACAAAATTGATCCAAATAATTGTGATTATTCACTTTATGCCAATGGTTCTCATCATTTGCCAACTGATTTGAATACTTCGACGAGTTCTTTGCAATCTCATGATAATAATCATTTGCATCAGTCCAGTTCTGTGTCCATTGAGATGAGATCGATGGCTCTGATGGACAAATCGAATAGAAATGCCAATTTTGCTGAGGAACATGATGTGGCAACTGGTAATCCATATAATGGTGAGAAGAAACAACCTAGATCTGCCTCTGGTATTGGTTCAAAGACTACCACTAAAAGTCATTCCTCCACAACCATGCTCAAAATTAGAACTTGTTTCGGTTCCACGATTGAATTGACTCCTGTCAAATTTTTGAATTTGAGTTCCCTTATTGTAAATTTCCTTGCCTTTATGGCTCTTCTTATCCTGATTGTGGCTTACTATGTGGTCAACTCGGAATTACAAACAGCAATTGGTAGTATGGATTTGAACATTACATTGTATAGAGAAAGAATGGTGGCAGCTTGCAGATCATCTGTCTATACCAATAACAATTTGCAACTGACAGCCAATTATACTGCAAAATACGAAACGAGTAAGACCAAGTTCAATACTGAAATTACGAAAATGTTGGCCTATTTGCCAACTAATTTGCGATATACCTATACTCATAATGTTTCAGTTGCTGATTTGAGAACTTCCAAGGCCATTGCTCTTGAAACTCAAATGTTAGAATTGGCAAATATTGGAAACTATTCATATGCCATGACGTTATTAGAATCTGACGCTTACAAATATGACATTGCAGGATACAGTGAAGAATTCCAGCCAACAGTTGACTATCTGAATGAATTGGAAGATAGTTCTCGAAGCGTTAATGTAACCATCACTACAATTTCACTCATTGTGGTGTGTGTTTCCATTTGCATTGTGTTGCCATCAGTGATTGCCTCAATCATTGTCTCTATTCGAAAGGATGCAAGTAATACGAAAAAGCTCAAGGCAGCCAACGCCTTCCTCTTGATGGATACTATGAGGGATAACAAATTGAGAAAGCTATTCAGGGACCATTGTAAACAAGAATTGAGTTTGGATAATTACTTACTATTGGACAAAATTACAGATTACAAAATCCTGTGTGAAAAGTCCTTTGAAATTCAAGTATTCCTCTATGATGACATGAGTCCAAATTCTCATTCTGATTCTCTCTCCGATTCAGGTAGCTCTGCAACTGCCAACTCCTCCAACTTGGACCATCAACACAAAAAGAAGAAGAAGAAGGGCTACACTGAGAAGGATCTCCATGAAATTGAAAAGAAAAAGTACGAAATTGCCTTTGAAATTTACACTGATTTCCTCGATATCAATGGAGACAAATCAGTGAATATTAATAAGAGTGCTGCAGATAGAGTTAAGGAACAATTGGATTACTTTGCAAGTGGTGAGAATGAACATTTGACTGATACTCTGTTTGATAATGTGGAAAGTGAAATATGTGTCTTGATGTTGGATACTCATCATCGATTCAAGCAAACTGTGGAATTTCAGAAACAAACTCAAAAGCAACATGTTAAGAAGAATAAGGTCAAGTTTGAGAGTAATAAGGTGAAGAATTTGAGAAGTGATTTGAATCTGGATTCACTTAAAATTCCGACCAAATAATGTATATAATAATGATTTGTAAATAATAATTCTTGGAAAAGCAATTAATAATTAATAAATTGTAATAATTATTTAAAAAATCGGTAAGGTATTATAAATTCATCCGACTCTCGGAATTGCTTATTAACATCAAATACTACACAATAAAATCCATCATCACGACATTTCCTTCACATAAAATAATATGTTGTTAAAACCGTTGATGAAACTTGGCGCCAATTTTTTGAATTTAAAATTTAAATAAAAAAAATATCATCAATTCGTGATGGCTTAATCACCAAGAGAATTAACAACAACAATGAATAGTAATAAAATAATAGTAATATAAATTGTTTGATCAACAAGGTTTCAACCTTGTGGAGCCTTTTTTATAAGAATTCTAATAGATTGCCATTAAACCAATAATCATCATCAAGAAGAACAATAATTGGCTCTCCATACAGAAGGCTACTTCTCGCTGATGATACCGAAAATTTGGCTGTGAAAGATCCGAAATTCTGAGAAGAATCTGTAATTTTCATATAACAACGAGAGCAATTTCCCTTATTTGCTTCCAACCATTCACTCATTTCAATGTAATCACCAACCACAGCATGGACCTCCTTAGTAAAAACCATTTTATAGGCAGTTTTATAGCCAAAGTTTGATAGGATGGTTGCTTTTGGAAAATTGGATTTTGCATACTCATAGGAAGTTGTCAAATAAGGAGCTGCAACAATTATTCCTTCCTTGTTAAGATCGGAAGGTGTGGTTAGTATGGTGTTATTATCACGTTCTGATCTCAATATTCCTGTATAACTTGTTCCATATGGACCTACACATGTGTTAGAGAACTATATCTCTTAATAATACTTACATTGGAAGTCAACTTCACTAGCTCTACTTTCTTCATAGTTTGTGGACGCAATAGCAACATGACAGATTGAACTCTGAACAGCATTTTTCAATGTTGGGAAATATCCTGATTGTGAGGTATTGAGAATTAAGAAATTAGCTGTCAAATTGAAGATATTGTAATGATTTTTCAATGCCTTGACAAGTAATTGTCCCTGCCTTTTCATGCATCATTGGCCATGGATCTTCTGCTTCCATTTCATAGCAAAGAACTAGCTCATTCAATGTCCAATTGAATACTTGTGGATAAACAGCGTCATTAGCACTTGTGGTACAAGTAGGAACAGGAAAGGTGTAACCAAGACTTGCCTTGTAAGAATTCCATTCCTGAGAATGACTGTACTCATTGGTTGCAGCATTGATGGCCTGTTTAAAGTTTTGGGTGAATATGTTTTGACCAAATACTAAGTGAGCCATCACTGCAAACATGCCAAACATCAACACAAGTTGCTGTGAAGGTAATCTCTTCAAAGAGGAGGAATGCATTATAGTTGTTTAATTTTTTTTGATGTTTCGTATTTGAGCATCTAGGTCGCAACTCATTTATGTAAATGGCACTGATTTTGAACGAGCGGTATCTTAATTAAGCAAGTAACAAAGTAACAAGGTTACTAATATTATTATAAAATATAAAAACAATGAAACAAAGGAAGAGATTACTTTCTTCATTTGTGTTCCATTGTTTATGTTTACAATAACATTTAATAATATTGTCAATTTTATGAATTCAGAGAAGAATATGCTCTACATGACCAGTGATGAGGTTAAGTTTCTGAAACTTGTTGACAACTCATATGGGTGGACAGGTAATGATATTACTGAGATAATTAAAAAGCTCTTTTCCACCAAAATGATTTGTAAATTATTTATTTCCCTAACTATCGTAGTTAAGATTCAAATATATTGGAGAATATCATGTTATCAGAAATAGTGAAAGTACGTTCGTATCATGGCAAGACTTTCAGAACTGTTAGAGAATGAAGCACTTGTGCCATTGGAGGAGACGAAACTCTGGAAAACCAACACGTGAATTACAACCAAAAGGTAGCTCTGTACATGATGCTTTTCAATTCGTGTTGTATTAAGGATCCACTACAAACTTCAAGTCCCTATCATCCACTCTTCCATTCGAAATTGTAAAATCAATTGTATTAGCAAACACTCCTCACGCAATGAACCGTCACACAACCAAATCCATCTGTTGCAGGCGAAATCACTCCTTTATTGTCAATTGTATGCCTTGAAATTAGTGGAAAATTGCTATTAACAATATTTATCATTTTCATCACCTTGTTTGTGATCACTGAATTTCATTACACCCTTATTTGGAGAATTAAATGCTGATCCTATTTGTTGCGGATGAATGTTCACTTAATATTTAGTTTTGATTCGAATACTTTTAGAAACTTTATTTCGAACACTTTTTAAGAAATTGAATAAACTTTTAAAGAAATAATAATTTATAATGATCAAAAATTTTACAAAATTGGAATATTGAGAAGGAAGTGTATGTTTCTTCTCGCTTGGTACTACTTGTGTGAGTACGATGTTTGCCTAGAGTTGTTGTTGTTGTTCTTATTTTACATTCGAATAAATTTACAAATTTTGAATCACAATTATCGATTCAAAATTCCTAGATGTCAAATTGACAGTTGACTTAATGTAACATGGAGAAAGCTTGTTCAAATTCCATGCTCAATTCAGAAGAGAAACCAAATTCTTCCATTCCCTTCAATTCATTCAAACAATCTTTGATATTTTGTTCAATTGAGTAGACAGATGTCAATAATTCTTGATTATTGACAGCATTCAAAGTACAACCACTAGTACGGAGAGCAGGTTGTTGTTTTGGACTTTCAACTCTAGGAATTGTTTTGTTCTTTCTTGAAGGAGATGTTGATGATGAAGCTTTGATTGATTTTCTTGGTTGACAGTTGGCAATTTGATGTTCTTCTTCGCTGACTGGAGAAGTTTTTCTCTTCTTATCATTTGAAGCAGCAACGTCATAGATCATTGTCATGGAGAAAGTTGGAGTTTGGATAGCAGTTGAGCTCATTTTTGCTTTGTTGTTCTTGTTGTTTTTTTTTGTTTGTGTTGTTGAATCATTTGATGCACAAAATTCGTTGATATTTATACTGTCCATGATCTTGTCACTTGTCAATGACAGAAAAAGGAAGAAGGATTGAAAATGTTAATTCTGTGGACCATGAAAAAGTTTTCAGCTGTATGAAGATGATAATCACTCAAAGTGTAATTAGATTCCGTTTTAGAAATAATAGAATCAATTCTGGGAGATTCAAAATTTCTGTATTTATGGTTTATTTCAGTATAAAACAAGTCAAAGAAAATAATTCGAGTATTTTCAAGATGAAATCAAGTTTATTCGTGATAGATAAGTCAAAAATTTGAGGTTGGCTGTTTAAAAGAGCTGTCAACTGCCAAATGTTTTATCAATTTATTGAAAAAGCTGTTAAATGATTACAGAGCTAAATAAATGATTATTTTCATGAATGAATGGATTTTGCACAATGCCGGCTAGCTATCTGTCAATTCAAAATACGTTAGAAATAAAATAACAAGTGACAGAGACATTAGTTTTATTTCGTATTTACGAATTTCTAATTAGTTACTTTTCACCGTTGATTGAAAGTGATTGTGTTTGGATAGTTCCTTCAAGTTTCGTATCTGTTGCGTTCTTATTGATTTCTCCCCACTCACACACTAGTTCACTAACTGTAGTTTCGAATAGAGATTAATCTACAGTGAATTTCAAAAAGAATGGAATTGATATCAATGATGAAATGCAGTTCTTCTTTTATTAATTTGCATTCGATTACAATGAGTTTCGAATAATTGAGGTTTTTGAAATTCCAAGAATGGATAATAGGTGAGATGACGAGTTGAGGAACATGTTAGGAAACATGATCAACCACAACTGGATAACAATAGAGCAGGAGCAACATTTGAATATATCTTTAATTTCACAAGTCCAATAATTCGTATACGAAACATAATTCGAATAGCGAAAATATAGAATGGTAATTAATCAAGATTCCAACTTACAACATAAATTATTGGCTACAAGAATCTTTGATACGGATATAGGACTACCAAATCAAGAAAATTAATCCTATTCGAATGACAGCCTGAGAACAGCTATTCGAAAGTATAATCCGAAACTGATACAATGTTTAAATATCGACAGAGTTGAAACATAATTGAAAAACAAGTAAATTTTACACTTTAAATTAGAGTTTTATTTACTGGCAGGTGACTTGCCAATTATTTGACAGGGAACTTCATCCTCTGCAAAAGATGGTAACTTTCTAATTATCAATGTTTGGCGTATAACTATTTTCATTGATGACAGCTCAACAAGAATAGTAAGTTTTGAAGATTCTTTGAAAGTTGTCGATTTATTGTATAAAAACTTATTCGAAAGTTTACAAACCATGTGAAAAAGAGTTTGAAGTGAATTTTAATCGTTGAACATGTGAAATAGATGGAAGAGAGATAGCTATCTGCTCATGGGTGATATTATCCTTTTATTGATCTGAAGAATCGTTTCACATTAGTTCACTTTCGAACTACAGTAAATTTACAATTTTTATGCATGTAGAACAATTCTAATGTATTCCTCAGTTTTACAATCACACTGTATATTCACTGAAAAATCTAACGAATCATGTTTTTTTGATTTCCTTGATCCACTTTAGTTCAGTTTCAGATATTTTTGAAGATTTATGATATGATTGCAGAATTTGGAACGCTTGCAAATTAAAGTATCTAATGAATATTCTCCAGTCAATTGCAGAAACTACTGCTTATTGAGTTGCATGATTTATCATCTTGAATATCAAATACTAAAGCTTTCGTCCACTCTTTGTAAGAAAGGTCACTACAGTTTGACATCTATTGGAATTATGGTAAATGGATGATGAGGATCAGTATCTGGCTGAATTGTGATATGATACTGAAGAGAATCTGAATATTGGGCTTCACTTGCAGATTAGTTTACATTCGAAACGAAACTACAGTAACATCTACGGTTATTCAAGTGAAAATAAGAATCTGATTGACCATTTCATTGAATTACAATATATTCTCTCATTTATTTCGGATGAGAATTATCAACAACATCGTGTTTAGTCCAGTTTCTGATAATTTTGATCAACGACATGTCGCTCATCCCACGAATGAGAATCATTTCACAAATAGTTGAAAATTTACTACTTTGTGATCAATATTCCACTTATTCGAAACGCTCGGATTAGCCAAAAAGAAAAGTTAATTGCCATGTGTTAGTGCTTCCTCTGAAGATGAATATACATTCGAATAGATTTTACAAACTAATTATTATACATTCATACAATAATCGTCTACAGCTTGTCATCTTACAGAATTGCAAGTTTTCCAATTGTTTGATTTAATTTATCATGTTCAAACTCCAAATGAGCAACTCAATCTGATATTCGAAACTTGTTCTTAATCGACAGGTTTTTTTATTGAGCAACAAGCAGATTAAAGAATAATTAATAGCTGAGGAATAATTCCATGATTTAAAATGATGTCAATCTTCAATAATTAAGCGGTGACAATGACGACATTAGCCTCAAATATTGGAGCGAATCAACAAACGAAACTAAACTCCAAACTAAATTGTCATCTACAGTAAGAATCATCCACAAATGAAAACAATCTACAGTAAAGAATCATCTATTCACATACCTTTAATTTTGTTCACAAATTAACCATTTTAGGAAACTTTAAAGTTGGTAATTTCAATAATAATCAACAACAAGAACTTAAGAACAGAGAATCTCTTCTCTTTGGAACACGCTATACATCTTACTAATGTTTTATCAAATTTAATATGAAATCTGACAGTTTTACTTACGCTTTAGCACTATACCTGCCAAAATATGGGACTTGAATCAAGAACTTCATTATGAGTAATGTACAATGACAAAAAACCGTTCACTTACTTTGAGTGATTTCCTACTTGTTATGAGGCATTTGTTGAACTTTATTGTTAGTGAAGTTAATGTCAGCAATCAACTAAGTACCGCCGATGATTTTCATGTTGTTTGCAAGTTAATATTTGAAAGGAAATTGTAAAGCAGCATTTGGTATTGCTTACTGGTTGATCAATTAATATAATAGTCTATGATTTCATCAAGTTTGGATTCCATTACAATGATGACTCGAGAGATTTTTGTAATTTTGGCGCCAAGTTTGGTTTGTAAACTATCTTAAAGTAGATGTTGCTCTCAGCAGTGATGGTGATACCTCTCGTAAAGATGACGACAATACAAACGATCAAATCTTTGGGCATTCATCATTTGATTCGAATACATTACAGAGAAGAGAAATCTCACTAAATATTGGAGAGAATAAACAATTCAAGTTTTTTCAAAGATTTTCTGATTTATTAGAATACATAAAGTATTTCTTAGAGTTGTTGAGCCATGAGAGTTGATTCAACCTTAGAGGGAGTTAGATTACAGTTAATTTACAAGTTAAATCTGTACAGTTAGGAGAATTAAAAGTTTTGATTGTTGAGAGAATTAAAAGTTTTGATTCAAGAGACTGAGACAATCTTGTAAATCAGCTGAAGTAAAGGAAGAAACTGATGATTTGAAAAAGTCATCATTCAATTCACTAGCAATACTATTAATTGAATTAAAGCAATCTAACATATTTCCCTTCAAGGCACTCATTGATGAACAGTCAGCGTTCATTGGATCAACATTGGCATCTTTTGTCTTATTTTCAGAGAGTTTAAAGATTGGCAACTTTTTCTTTGTTGGAGAAGTAGCAGCAGTATAGGTTTCCATTTTGACTTTCTTACAAGATGTTGTTACAGTTAATTGTTGTTCTTCGTTATCACCATCTTGATTGACCATTTCGTCTTCATATCTAGCACTCATCTTTCTCTTCTTTGGAGTTGAACAAGCAACAGTATATGTTGATGATTCAGAGAAAGTAAAAGCGTTATCAGTAAATTGACTAGCAGCAGACATTATGTCAGTAAAGGAAAAATTATCAATATCAAGTAATTGATTATTAGTTGTTGAGGTCTTGCCAAAAACTGGAGCAGAGTTATTTGATGCAGTAGTGTTCATTTCACTTGTGTGTTGTTTTTTTTTTGATTTGTTTTTGGGTGGAATATGTTGCTGTTTGGCTTGAATTTATACTTTTGGGAGGCATCAGACGTCCAATCCAAATTCATTTTGCTCCACCAATTTGTTGTTGGTCCATGAATTTAAGTTGAATCTATTGGAATTATCGAATTGTACAAACTTCACGCCATAAATGTTTTAAACCAATCTAAATTATCTCTCTTATAGTACAAGATACGGACTCTATAATCGAACTGAGTAAATAGAATTCTATATCGGGTAATTTGAGAGCAAATACAAGAATTTTCACTGTAATTATCTTATTCTATTCCTCCAAGTTTTGTTGTATGGTATAGTTGAGGTGTTTTGAAGTTATTAATGATAGGAGATTTGAGTTTGAAAAATGGTAATGCCATTGAAAGTGAATATTCTATGATTTGTTGTGAAACAAACGTTGAGTTGGTTGTACAAGATAAAAGATATTGAATGCCAACTAACTAACTGCCAACTGTCATTCCCGCCTCAATTCCACTATTGTAACAATAGTGAAGTGTATCTCTATAACTTAAAAATACAATCATTATGACATGATATCAGAAGTAATGAAGTAATACGAACAGAGATGATTATCTCTCTAAGATTGCATGTTGAAACATCATCATAAGGATGCAAATACGACTGGAAAGATGACAATTTTTTAAAATGGTTATTTCCGGTATTTAAATGTGGTGTAGACGTAATTGATCAAAAATACAAACATGGAAATTTTGGTGCATAAATAAAATAAGGTGCTATGAACATCTTTTCAGGTTTTTCAAAACTAATCTGGTGTAAAATAAATTCACAACATTCATATCACCAATAAAAGGTCTCAATAAATGAAACATTTTGAAAATATTCGAATTTCATTGCTATTGTCCCAGTTAAATACCATTAAGTATTATAATATGTTCAATAATTACTAGATAGTATAATTAATAGAGGTACAATTCTGGTTATGTTCGTGTGTGGCCACAGTGTATAATTTTCTACCATTAACAGTATTGTGTTGAATTAATTTGTACTATTGTCATTGCGGTATTGAGGGGGAATTGTTCTCCTCTGGTATGTTAATTGTTGTTATGGTTTAATAATCAGCAAGCACAGTATGAAAAGAAACATGATATCAGAAAAAGTAAATTGATCGAAAATAATATTAATTTGAATAATTAATGATTCATGCTGATAATTCTGCCATTTTGAATAAATTGTTGGCCATCAGTTCTGTTTACGATAAATTGTAATTGATCATATGATGATCTACAGTTTTTGATGATTCATGATGCTTTTTTCACTTTAGGCTTATTTAAATAATTATTTGAATTATATTAATAATATATTGAATATTGATCGCATCACAGTAGAATGATCATTTCATTGATTACTACTATTAGGAATAAATACTACTATCATACTATAAATTAAATTATTACTCTGATGATGAAAAGGCTTCTTCATTTGAGGCTTCTTATCAAACCAGCAGGGAAGATTTCTAGCCTTTTTTTTTAAAATTTTCAAACGTAACGTCTCTGAGTTTTTAATTTATTTGGCGGGAGATTTCCATCAACAAGTCACTCAACCTTAGTCAATTTTGTAGGAACGAAAGTTGGTGATTAGTGTAAGGCATGGTTGAGGATAGGTTTCATAGTTTGGAGATAATAGATAATTAGCCAAAAGAGTCCATGACCGAATTGTAAATGATCTAAGGTTTGAATGATGTTTGGCAGTTAAGGGTTTGAGAGGTGAAGTTGTTCTGAACTGTAAATTGCCAACAACTTTCATAATTAATATTTTGTAAATGATTGTAAACGGTCAAGCAGTTTGTTGAAAAACTGTAGTTGAACTCCAAGAAAAATGAATTGGAACGGAGCTGTAGTTGCCTCTCTCTTTAATTTCAAAAGTAGTATATTCAAGTGATCAGTTAATGCATGATTCTCCAATCTGAAAGTGATGACAAGTTTCAATAAATAGAAAGATTGGACAGAAAGAGAAGAATTGAGACACATTGAGTGGAATCTCTTGCATCCACGTTTTATGCCCATATTAACCATTCCAAAATCCAGGTTGGTTATTGTTGTGGACATACAAATATGGAACATATTTTAGTGTCAGTCTTGACATACAAAAGTTGCAGTTCATCTTCTTATCTTCATGTTCACAGTTCTCGGTTGAGTATGAAGTTTAGTAGAGATGCTCTAGTAAATTAAAATTGTGTGAGATATGTGAAAACTTGTTTTATTTGGAAGTGGTGGATATTTACAATGTAGAGATAATAATGGTATTATTGGCTAGTAACTATTTCACTAATATATTTCTCAACCAATCCTTGGAATTGTTATGATTATTAGTCATCATCAACTCATCAGAATGTTGACAAATTCGAAACCAAGAACGAGCATTGCAAACCTTCACATCACCATAATCATTCAAATCCTTTAACAATACACGGTCGCAAGAAACAACCAGACAAGATTCCAAAGCGCCAGCTATAATCTGTCTGTTTAAAAATTCCTTCATCAAGTCACCAGAAGTGGAGAATGGTTCAGCAATAGATACAACAAATGTACCTGCTTCATTCTCTTCTGGTTGGACATTCATGGTGGAGTTGAAGAAAACGTGTACGTGGTTGAATGATTCGGTTTGATGGAGAGATTTTGCAAGTCGGAGGAGTGTCTTCTCTGCAATATCCTTGTCACTGTTAAAAGCAAGACTCTTCAAATCACGGACGTGGAGAAGAATACTACCAGCATCAATGTAAACATTCCTGATGGAAGAAGTATCAATGAGAGCGTCTTGTTTAAAGTGTTTCCTTGCTTGTTGTTTTTCTTGTTTGTCAACAATCTTTTGAAGGAGATTCTTATTCTTCTTTTTTGACTGTTGGTGTTGATTTTGACTCTTGATGAATATCTTGATCATAGTTTCATCATTTAAAAGCAATTGTTGGAGAGCATGCTGCCAATCATCGTCGTTTTGAATGGCAACTTTTCGTGATTTACCAATTACACATGAAATTTTCACTTGTTCTTCTTGTGGGAAGAGTTTTCCGATACGCATCATGAGTCCATCAAAATGATATAATTCCCAAGTAATATCCTGTAGAATTTTACGTTTGACACCATTAGAACCCTTCAAGTATATGAGCATGGTTGGACACCTTTGTTGCTCTTCTGGAGAGATATCATCATATTCATCATCATAGGCGAACGGTGTAGTGGCTGATGAGGAAGAAGAATTTCCTTGATCGAAAGAAGCACCTGCCTCTGATACGAAGGCTTCATATCCAACTTCTTGATTGTTGAATATGATGGGTATCATTCTACGCACATGGGTAACTCCTTGATAATCTACATCGTTATTTTCCTCTTCTTCATACTGAGAAGTACGCACGAATTGATTATTGTTGTGGTTATGAGTTGCGAACATTTTGGTTGATTTGGTGCAGAAACGTCTTTTCTAGAATTTTTTTTAAAGATTAAAAATAGAATTTTAGGAATTTACAATGAACATTGCTACAGTCGTAAAATTTACAATGAACATGTTACTATTTCACTCAATTAAGTATTGAATCTTGGCCTCACCACTATTGATGGGTAATCGAAAGAATACTCTGGGTGGAAGATTAGTACCCTTTTGGTACTATTCAAGAGGAGAGAATTAGTACAGTATTGGGCGAATGAAATATATCTTTTTATTTTCGATTTGTTGTACATTTACAACAAATCAATCCTTTTTTTGGTTCAAACAATTTTTGCCACTATCCACCAACCAAAAACCTATCGCCCTGCAATAATCGTCGTAAAAATAAACTTTTATTAGTCCTAGCTAGTCGCAAACAAGCGACTAGAAAACAGGGGGAACCCTTGCCAATTTTTCATTTTCATAATACTAAAGGGTTAACTTTGAGTTTTGTGATTTTGTAAACAAAAAAAATGCTCGTACAAGAACATAACATTCCAATAACTGTCAATGAAGAACATTCTCTCCGTCTATTTGATTCTTCGTTAGAAATTTCCTTCCATAGAACCTTGAGAATTCCCAATGATGGAAAAACTTATCCTCTTCCATGCTCTTTAGGTAGATTTCCAATAAAGAGAGTAGAAGATTATTCAAAAACAGTTCCTGCCCATTGGTTAGAACATGGTGGAGTATTCATTCCATTATATCAGAGTGAAGCCATGTGGATTCAATTTTCCTATTCGAATAGTTTCCACAACATGCCATTCTGTCAATCAGATGTAACCAACAATGATTTCCCACTTGCTGTTCAAATGGGAGTTGGAATGATCAATGCACTCACTGGAGATGAATGGGATGAATCAGATTTTGGAAAGAATAAGAAACAAAACTATATGGTTCTCCCTAATCAATTATGGATTGATGGAATTGCTTGTGATGAAACAACTGTCAAGCAATTTGTTGCCATGCCACTTGGAAGTGGAAAAACAGTTGAGGAACAGTTGACTGGAAATGCTGATTATGGTGGAATTCAATTTAGGATTTATCAAGCAAGAAAAGATGCACTTTCACATTTACCACTTGAAAGACAAGTTAGAACTGTTGGTGGTGGATCCATGAAAGTTTTGGTCAAAACCTTAACAGGTAAAACTATTGTTGTTTATACAGATTCAAATGATCAAATTGAAGATGTCAAGTATGCAGTTCAGATGGCAGATGGAACTCCTCCAGATCAACAACGATTGATTTTCGCTGGTAAACAATTGGAAGATGGAAGAACATTGAAAGATTACAACATTACAAATGGAGGTGTACTTCATTTGGTATTGAGATTGAGAGGAGGAGGACCTGTAACCGAAGACGAAAGTGATGGAATGGAGATGGGATTGGGTGTTGGTGGAAGAATTGAGCAAAAGATTTATAAGGATCCTTTTGGATTATCGTTCTGGGATTTGACTGCAGCTGGCAAATGTTTCGTCCACATTGTGAATAGTGAAATGTGGAAGAAAATTACTGGAGAGGAGTGTCCACCTACTCCAATCTCTAAGAAAACATATAAGGAGAATAATTATCCATGGTTTTCACTCTATGACGAAGGAATTGCTTCATGCCAAGTTTCGGATAAGCTTTCTAATTTGACTTCAGTGGATGAAAAGAAGGTTTCTTCTGGTAACTTCTTTGCCAAGAAGAAGAAATAATTTCATATAAACAAAAACAATGTAGCAATTGAATGTAATAAAAATGAATAAGGAGGTTTTGCTTCTGTTGAGGGAGGAAGGACGAATCGAGCACCGAACAATATCGAACATGTTTATATTTATTGGTCAATAAGAATATAGAGTATCGGAATTTACAATTTATTTCAATTATTGGCTGTGTGTTGAACTCGGATCCAAAAAAAACATTGCAGCCTTAAAATCATCAAGATCATATTTTCTAACCACAACGAGGTGATTAATTAAAAAATTAATTGATGAAAAAATGTGTGATCGTGCTGGTGATAGAGTTTCTATTATTCTTGATGTCAATTTTAAGAGTGAATGGTTGAAAAATTTATTCCGAAATTACTTTTTCATTCAGCGAGAATTGAAATATTTCAAAATTGTTTCGTATATTTATTGTAGAAAATATAGACGTTCAACAACGATTGAAATACCGAATCAATTAATGGAAAAGAGAGAGTTTATAAAGATATTGTTGGAATATTGTGGATTATTTATGGAACATTTGAGGGATGATATTCAGAATGATAGAGAACTTGCTTTGATTGCTGTCAAAAGTCATGCAGATGCCTATTGGTTTATAGGAGAACATTTGAAAGCTGAGGTTGAAATAATATTGGCTGTTTTGAGAAATTCCAAAAACCAACCTTCTCGGGGAGTTACTGAACACATTTTCACAACTTGGCCTGAGTTTAGCTTGTATGAAGATGTTTTATTGAACTTGGTTGAGAAGAACAAGTATATTCTCAATTATACTGATAAATCACTATTAGGGAACAAACAATTCATGATGAAAGCTGTGTATAGGAATGAGTATGCAATTGAATTTGCAAATGAGCTAATCATTGATGAAGAAATGGCAATGGTAGCCATGTTAAGAAAACCATTGAAATTGGATGGACTTTTCAAGTTTTTAAGAAGTGAAGAGTTTGTGATAAAGTATATTGAGAGGAGTAGAAAGCCAGTGATTTTGGAGTATGTGGATATTTCAATTCGTAAAAATAGAACAATAGTATTGGAGAGTGTTAAGAAGAATTCGGCAGAGTTTCGGTTTGCTAGTAAGATGATTAGAGGATACGATAGAGAAATTGTTTTGTGTGCTTTAAGGAAGGATGGAGATTTATTGAGATATGTTGAAGAACCATTGAAATATGATAAAGAAATAGTGGAAGAAGCTATTGGAAAGAACCCTCTATCTCTGAGATATGCAGATAGATTTAGAGATGATACAGAAATAGTACAATTGGCAATTTCAAAGAATAGACATGCTATCGTCCATGCCTCTAAGAGGCTTCAGGATGAATTCCAATCTCAAGTTGATGATCAATCCACTGAGGAGGAATGGTCTATTGAAAGAAATATGTTACAATATTGGAATGATAAATTGTCGTTATCGAAGGATAAAAACGATGCTAAGGAAGCTATTCGACTTGGATTCGTCCCATCCAATATTAATTATCCTGAAATTTATAAGGATAGAGAACTCATGTTGGAGGCAATTAAGAAGGACGCAATGGTTTTATTAAGAGTTGGAAATTCAATGGATTTGAATCGATCTTTTGTCAGGGAATGTATACAAAACAATTATACATGCCTATTATACATAAGGGACCACTTTTTATTGGATAAGGAATTTATATTGGATGCTTGTTTAAATTATTCAACATTTGAAGTGTAATCAAAACCTGTTAATCTAACAATAAAAGCATGTAAAATAAACTGCCTTATTGTAAAATATGAAGGGAGTAAAAGGAAAGGGGACCAGTGGGAATCGAACCCACGGCCTCTCGCACCCAAAGCGAGAATCATACCACTAGACCATGGTCCCTTACACAAATTACCCATATTAATCACTGGCTTAATAATAATGCCTTAGATGGACTTTCGAAATTTATTTGTTTACTGTTTGGCTTTCTTATTGGCTGGGGAAAGCTTGTTTTCCATTGTCTTTCGCTTCCTTAAACATTGTTTAACAATTTTCAACACACCACAGAAATCAATTTCATTTTCAAATTCCTTCCAATCAATTTCTACAATTTTCTCCTCAATTAATTGTTCCAACACGTTGTTCATCCTGGAGATTTGCAATAGGGAAATCTTTTCTATGGTGGTTGAGCATCGAGGCCAAAATTGTTGAACAATCTCAAATTGTTCTTCAGTTGACTTTGAGTTTGCTAACAATTTCTGTAACACTTCTGTCTTGTGCCGCTTGAGATTGAAATAATTTTGGAAAAAATCAATGACATTAAAGTGCCTCCAATGATTATAAAACAATTCCATCACAAAGTCGTTTTTAAAATTAACATCAAAAAAGTGCATTCCATTGTCAATTAATCTATTAAATTGTGAAATACATTCATTGGCAGGTAATTCCAAAGTTTTGTAATAAAATTCTTCAAATTCATTTGAAATAATTCCAAACATTTTCAAAGTTTCATGAAAATTTCCTTTTGTTTTGTGAAATTGTTTGGTTTTTTCAATATCGAAAATGGTAACCTGATGTTTGGCATCCTCTCCATCCTCTCCTTTGAACTCATCATCCAATTCATAATAAAATGGTGAGAGTTTATCCTTCTCTGTCAATTTAGACAAGTTGACCAAATCAGCTTGTGGATAATACAAATATTTCAATGAAGAACTTTTCACAAATTCTGTCAAATGCTTCAAATCCACATCCTCCAACTTATTCTTATAATAAATAATACATTCCACATTCTTCATCTTGTTTGTAAACTCTTTGGCACATGATTTCATCAAGTGACATCCAACAAATGTCAATTGTCTAATTTTTTCACAAAACACTCGACTTGAAAAGAAATCATCAACCAAATCTCCTGAAAATCTAACATCAGAAAAGTGCAATTTCTCTACATGCACGAACATCTCACCAAACCACTTGGAAACCATCTTTCGAATAGTCAACCGATGATTCTGATCTTTCGGTGCAATAAATGCTTGATTATTAAACAATGTCTTTTCATTCGAATAACAATATTCTCGAAGTGCATTCCTTGCCTGTTTATCCGAAATGAGAGGTCTCGGAATAGGTACTTGTATTAAATAGAGTAAATGTTTGGTCAATTGGAAAGATTTCACAGAGGAGCAATGAAGATAGAGACCTAGTTTCCACTCCTTGCAAACTCTTTCTAATTTCATCATTTGTTGAAGTGGTAGAAAGCTGGCAATCACGGAAATAATATCGTGATGAATCATTTGGAAATATATTTTTTTTTGATTGCTGACAGTGATGTGCAGAACAGTTTTCTTGGTTACAATTTTCCTACTTTTTTGGATTTCTATTTATTGATTGATTTCCAATAAATTAAACTATTGTAAACTATTGTGAAAAAATTTATTTACATAAAAAGTCCTCTGGCAGGTGTCAAATTCTTCAAAACTGTTTGTGGTCTAGTCGATCCAATCGTAGACGAAAGTTGAGTTCTTGTACTTGTTGGAGTTGACTTTCTATTAGAATTATTCGAATTGTTTGGTCGAGAAGGAGGTCGTTTCTGATTGGAAGACGAAATCATTGTTGGAATACCTGATCTTCCAGCACTTCCTGGACGAGTTGACGATTGTGAATTCTTTGGAATGATGGTAGTGACTGTAATCTCAGTTTCGTCTACTGGATAATCTTTCATTCTTGTATTCGAAGCTGAATGATTCGTCATGTGTTTTGGAGAAATTGGTTTAATGACAGCTGAGCCGAAACTGCCAGAATTTCTCAAACTTTGATGTTGTGAACTATAGGATGAATTAGTTTGAGTATTGACTAAGGTTGAGTTGTAATTGTTATACGAATTGGTTGACTTGGAAGCACTGGTAGGACGTTTGACAGATGTCTGGGCTGGTGTAATAACTCGAGATTTAGTTGGAGTGGTATTCGATTCCTTTCGAATAGGAGTTCTTGGAGTAATTGGCGGCACAACAAAATGATCCTCTGCATATTGTTGCTTAATGGAGGCAACTTGATTTTTCAATGAATTATTCTCCTTAAATATTGATTCCATTCCAGCTTTCGTTTCGGATAGAGATTGTTCCAAATGTTTGATTAAATGATCCTTTCTCGAATTTTCCAATTTCAATTCATTGAATTCAATTTGAATGACACTTCTTTCTCGTTCAGTATCTAAATAATTTTCCAATAATTGAGAATTTGAAGATCTTAATTGATTCAATTCTGATGCTCTCTTTTTGGAAGATTCGTCCAATTCGAATTTATAGAGCTCGAATCTGTGATGTTGATCTTCGATTTCCTTCTTGGAGAGTTGGAGTAATTTTCTCGTTTTGGCTAATTCTTCCTCTTGTTTCTTAATGACAAGTTTCAATTCGAAATTCACTTGTTCTGATTTTGCCAATTCTGGAGATGAATTGTTTTCAGATGACATTTTCAGAACTGATTCTTTTAACATGAGTTTGAACGAATCAGTCAATTCCTTAATGTTCTGTTTGTGAGTTTGCTTTAAATCTTCGCTTTCAGTTTCAAGTTTCTTGATTAGTGACAGCAAATTTTTCATGGCACCGTCTTGAGATTTGATTTGAATGGCCAATTTTTGATTCAACTCTTTGAGTGCTTCATTGTTTTGCTCAATAGCTCGTGATCTTTCCATAAGGATTGTCAGTTCTTCTCTGTGTCGTTGCCTTTCTTCCTCGATATACGATTCTCTCAAATCAAGCGATTGAGTCTTTGAATTGACCAATTCTCCATAAGTTTTCAAGCAATCATTTTTCTCCTTTAAATTTTCTATAATTTCACTATTAATACTCTTCATTACAACCAATTCTTCCTTCTGAATCTTGATATTATTCGAAAGATCATTACTATATTCAACAACTCTCTTCAATTCATCAGTCAGCTGAGCTTGAGTCTCCAAACAATACTCCTTCAAACCAACCAATTCAGATTTCAATTCAGCCAACATGAATTCCATCTTTGACAATTCTTCATCATGTTTCATCTTTTCAATTCCTTGTTCTTGATTTAATTTTTCATTTTCAATTCTTAATTTTTCAACATTTGAATTGAGGAATTCAATTTCAGATTCCTTCTTTTCCAAATCGATTGAAAAGCTATTCTTATTCTCCAGTACATTTTTCTTTTCGTTTGTGAGCTCTTCTGTCAAATGTTTAATCTTGTCATTTAATTTTTGAATTTCCTTTTTGAGGTGATCGTTTTCTCCTCTTGCTCCCTTGACATCTGCATCCTTTCTTTCCAACTCCTTCTTGAGATTTTCAACATTGGATTTGATTGTTTCCTTTTCTTGTTCTGAATCTTGAAGATATTGAACTATGTTTTTCTTTTGTAATTGATTAGTGACAAATTGATTGATTCCTAATTGAAGGGAAAGGGAAGGAGCACTCACTTGAGGATATTGAGAATGATAAGGGTGATTAAGAATTGGATTATTCAGCACTATTAAAATATTTGAAAACTATACGAAAGAAAGTGAAACTTACTTCTACTACATGAATAATCTTCGCTATTATAACTACTCAAACTACTCAATGATTCAATTGATGAAGTATCATCAGCTTCATAACTAATCGGTTGAGGAGGTTGACTTCTTCTGACTTGTGGCGTGAGCATAGTTTCGTCCAATTCATCATCATTGTATTCTGATATATTTTCTGATGAAAATTCACTTCTTGGTCGATTGTTGTATGGAGATTTAATTCCTGTATTCAAAATGTCTTCAATTCTCTTGTTTGGTGAATTGGAATACAATGAATAACAACTTTCGTCCATGTTTCGGCTCATTTCTTCCTCATGTTCTTCATCATCACTTATATCCGCAGACGAAAGAGCCAACAAGTGTTCTGTAATATGATCCGTGAGTGGAGAACATTCTCCCTCTTGATCATCTTCATTCAAAATGCTAATCGCCTCTGATGAGCTATTGTATTCAAAGTCTTGTTCCATTTTTTTCAGTTTCGTCTACAGTTTCGTTTCTTTCTGTTGCTTACTGAAAATCTACAAGTAGACAACCATCAACAGTTGTTGATTAAGATTTTTCATTTTCCATATCTCTAAACTCCTCAAAATGTTTAAACCCCAAACATTTACATTTTATTAGAAACTTATTGATTCAAAAACTCTTGAGTAATACTTTTCAAAAAAGTGGAAGCAAGACAAATGTACTCAATAACATCAGCACAACTCCACCTTTCGTATACATTCGGACACAACATATTTCTAGTCATTTCCTTAAGACATGTCATGATTGTCTTACTTTCGTCCTGAGTAGCCACCAAATCTTCATCAACCTCCCTACCAAACAGTTCATCCAATTGTTCAACATAATTCTCTGGATGAATAATTATTGATTTTCTAAAAAGAACTCGTAGGATACAAATGGCCAAACTCCAAATTTCACTTTTCAAGCAAATGAAAGGTTTTTCGCAAGTTGTTGAGTGGATTATTTCTGGAGGTTCATAGCCATGAGTAATTTGTGCATTTCTGTTAAAGTCAAAATATTGATGGAGTGGAGCATTGTAACTAACTGCATGTTCATCACCTTGGAATGAAATTGTGGATGTTAAATTGACTTGTTGGTCAATTAAGAGTTCAATTGACTTGTCGAGATTATTTAAATGGACATTCAAGTTGCCATCTTGCAACTTTTCAATTAGAATGTTTTCCAATGTCAAGTTTCTGTACACGAGGTGATGTTTGTGAAGTAAATCCAATAAACGAACTGTCTTGAATACGATAACGAGTAAGAAATTGGGTGAAAGTGGCTGATTCATTGCATCATGTTGTTCTTCTTCTTCTGTTAATAATTGTGCAAGAGACTTAACTGCCAAATGATGATCACTGACATCTTTCACAGATGATGCACTAAAACTTGCAACCTTTCCTTCTCTGACCAATTGATTAACAATGGACATGGCATGCTCATGATGAATTGGCGAATATTCTCGTATTGTAGATGTGGTAGATGTCGATGGTAACAGCAACTGTTTCTTGCCATGATGATCATCGAATTATTTTACTGTTTTCGGTTGTAGATAATGAATTTGTTGCTGCCATTAAATTACTCTCGGATTCGGCCACAACAGCAGTAGCATCAACACTACTCGATACCGATGCAGATGAAGTATTCTTCATCGTGATCATTAATTCATCATCATCATCAAGTTGATTATTCTCAAAGGTTTGGACCATTTTTTTGTATATGAATTTTATATTGTCCTGTCGCTATTCTTAATATTATTATTATTCTTGTAGCTCTCTGTTGTTGTGTGCAGTTTTTGTTGTTGTTGTGGAAAATGGTGCGTGTGTTTTAAATTTTTTTTCTTTTTTAAGGATTGATGAGGGCGGAGAAGGTCACCAAAAAAGCACATAACTTGAATGAAATCGCTGAGAATTTGACTGAAAGGTATTGGAAATGTTGATGTCTTGGAGAATATAGAATTATACAATTGGGGATTGTATTAAAATTTTGTAAACTTGCTCAATAGTTGATATTGGAAATTTGTTTGTTGGCTTGTTTCGGTGGTGAATTAAATAGAATACCGCTGTAGTTGATGATGAAGTGAAGGGAAAATAATTTTGCGCGCGTAATGTGTTGGGTCCACCAACGGTTTCCACCAACTGTTCACGTAAATTCAATAAGCGTTTTGAAGCCTTATTTGATATTGAAATCAAGTCTTCTCCTTATCATAAGTAATTATTGGTGAAGCAAGGTATTATGATAATATTTTAAAAAATAATTTTTTCAAAAAATATGTAATTAAATTGGTGATGAGAAAAAAACTGTTATATTAATACTTTTCATCATTATGGGTATAATGTGGGATGATGTACCATCTCTGAATGATGTTTGGAGATACTCCTGATTAGTTGCCATGATGTATGATAACATTTGCTTGAATTTTTCCTATATTATAAAAAAGAGACTTTGCAAACAAGTCAGTAAAACATCAACAAGAATAATAGTAATAATAGTAATAATAATTTAAGCCTGTTCATTACAATTAGGATGTTACTCATTAATTTTAAATTACAACAAAATTCTACCAACAATAATAATTTTAATATATCAACAACAACAATACTAATAGTAGTAATTCAACGTGTCCCGAATTTATTTCCTCCATACCTTCCTTTCAAAAGAATGAATGGGCCAATTGTAATGATACCATCATCATGCCAATATTATCAGCAACATGTTTGGTTTTGTACATCATTCTTGTTGTTATTTGTGCCATAGGAGTGATAAAGAAGAGGAAAAGTGGACATCTTCAATCACGTACCATCAGTGGTATTGTAGTTACACTAACAGGGAGTTTTATCTATGTATCTGTTACTCTTCTCCGTTTTACGGTTGGTAGATCTAGATTTCCCTGTATGATATTTAGTATTGTTAGCTATTCAATTCCTCCTTGTTTTGCAATGCCTTCAATATTGAGGTGTTTGCGATTAGTATTTCAGCACAGATTCAATTTGATAAAGACAAACACTTTATCAAGCTCCTATTGCATGCAACAAGAACAACAGAACACAGAGAGCTTGTTTATTCAAGCCAAACAAAATTCCAACAATAGTAATAACAACAGTATATCAACTAGTAATAGGAATGTCAATTCATCAGTCATGACATCTGTTGTGGAAACTTTTGAAAATAATCAAGTTATAGCTCGTGAAGAGAATACGACAAGAGAGAAATTCATCATCAAGGCACACTCCATTCTCACCAACAATACAGCATCTCTCATAGTATTTTGGCTTTCCATTGGAGTCCAACTCTTTCTGTGGTTTGTGCTTATGGTAGTAGAGGATAGCTTTTTCCAAAATGAACATTACTTTATGGATGGAGCACTCTTGATTTCACTTGGAAAAGGATGTGGGTTAGGGTTTCCCTCAACTCTATTTGTTGTGGGAATTAGTATTTGCTATTTTATTGTGGAATTTATTGCTATTGGACTTTGCTTTACTGTTGACAATGATACTTGGCATATTAAGAGGGAAGTTTTCCTTTTGGTTGCCACTCAAATCTTGACTGCAGTAATCTTTACATTTTTAAGTGTTGCTTCAGTGGTAGAGATTGTGGACTATTTCGTTCCTTCTGGATTTGTAGTTGCAGCTTACAGTACATTCGAGTTGGTTCTCACAATTTTAATTCCTATAATTAGAGCCATCCATGCAGATTCAAAAGAAAAAAGAGAATGTGATTCAGAAATTGAAATGATAATTTCCAATAAGGAAACATTTCAAATATTCTTGGATTATTTGAGAAAGTCGTTTTGCCCTGAAAATTTGCTGTGCTATGCTGATATTGAGAAATATAAACGTGAAACAGCATTAAGGCAAAGAAAGAAAATTGCACACCGAATGGTAAAGAAATACTTGTACGAAGATTCACCTTTCCAATTGAATTTGCCCTCTGATCTCTATTCTGTAAAGACCGTAATTATGGACAATATTAGTTTTGCAGATAATCAAAATGCATTAACAGATGATTTATTTGCCGATATTCAACTTCACGTGCTGAGCAACTTGGTAGATTCCTATTCAAGACTCAAATTCTCTAACAAGACCATTCAGAAAGTTTCAAATGATTGGAATGCAAAGCAAAAGAGGCTATCACCAAGATCTCCAATGATCAGTTTATCATCCATGACTTCGTTAAAACTTTAGGAAATCAAAATCTTACTTATATTATTTCTTCTTCATAAGAAACTAACCATCAATACAGAACAATGAACATTTGAGAATGAAATGGGGTTTTACAATAAAAAAATGCCTACACTCAATATAGAAGGAACCAACGATTGTTCATTCTCCCTCATCAATCTCTTGCCATTCACCAGATTGCCTGGTTCTGTCCTTGCTGAAAATAAGGAAATATTCGCAGAGCAGACTTACTATTTGAAAAAGAAGGAAATTAATTTATCGGACCACATCCGAACAATCAAGGAAGGAACTGTGCTGCTTGGACATGATGATGAACACAAAGCTGAGGAAGAAGTTGCACAATTTATAGAATTACAATCGTCATCATTACCAAGTGATGAAGAAAAGAAAACTTGTTTTAAAGTTTTGGATGCTGATTGTTTGCAAGTTGCTTTTGAATTGTTTGAAAAAACTGGAAGAACGCCAATGGTTTTGAATTTGGGTAGGTTCATCAAATATTGTTGAATGGTTAAAATTGGAAATGTTGAAAGCATCGAGAAGAACAATTTGTGGAAAGTATTGGGTTCCTTATTTAGGAACTCAGGAAGAATTCATTGAGAGAAAATCAGTAATTTACAGATATAGTATTGATCCTGATTTGAATGAAATTGTTGGAAAGGAACTTGAAAAGCGAGCATTGAATACAGATGAAGATCCTCATCATATTTTGGAATTTGGAGTAACCTATACTCCTCAATTGCCAATTATTAGAAACTTTAAAGAAACTGGCGATTATTCACTTGTGGATCCCTGTATATTCATTAATGTGGCTGCTGCTGGTGCCATTGATTTGAGAATCAAATATTTCAGAAAGACAGATCATTCAAAATATTATGATAAGCACGGAGTGTTAAATGAGGAACTATTCATCAAACATACGAAACTAAAGATTAGGATGGTGCTCTATTGTGCATTAAAGATGGAGGAAAGAGATTTGGTGTTGGGAGCATTTGGATGTGGAGCTTACTTGAATGATACCAAGACAGTTTCGTCATGTTTCGAACAAGTATTGAACGAACCAGCTTTCAAGAATAGGTTTGATAATGTTTATTTTGCAATTTTGGGAAAGGGAAATTGCCAGCCATTTGAAGAAACTTTTTGCTAGTTATTCGAAAGAGCAAAATTAGAAAGTGATTTGTGAAGGAAAAATAGTAGAATCAATCTCTTTAATGTACTGCTAATTATTATTGAAAGAATTTAAGAATATTTCAATAATTTTCAAATGATAAGGTTTCCCAATTCACACATATGGAAATTGCTTGCAAGTCAAACGTCATCAATTAATTAAAAAATTAAAAATAAATTTAAAAAAAATTTCAACACTGGGAAGCAGTTTTTCCTTCCACTAACCACCAAACTAACCGACTGTTAATAGAAAAATGGGAAATACCATCAATTCACAAACTGGTAGTCCTTCACATGCCATAACTGACCTGTCCAAAATTAATTCTTCAGGATTAGTGGCAAGTAATCACGCTTTCTATCATCACAGCTCTCCTAATTCCTCCAACAGAAGTTCCATGTCTTCATCTGATCAATATCATTTTCAAAATAATTTTGTTTCGAATAATAACGGCAATTTGGGAAGCGGACATTTAGAAGTTTCGTCTCAATTTCTTCATCAATTATCACCTTCAATGATGGAATATTACAATCAATATCAATGGAATGGTGGAAATTTATTTACAGATGATCATGAAGATTATGATTTGATTGTTGACATGGATGATCCTTCTCCTCATCATTTGACACATAAGGGATGGTCAATTAAATTGTCAACTGAATTGGAATTGAGAATTTTGGATAGAATAAGAGAATCTATGAATCAAGCAGCTGCTCTAGCTCATCAAGAACAGAATGAACATATTTATCATAGTATTCAAAATCAAATGACACAAAATTCGAATCATTCCTATATTAATACTCAGGCAATTATTCCTGGAGTGTTGCCAACTGCAAGTGCCATTCAAAATGCACCTTCTAGACCTCCATCTCCTAGTTTTGCATGTGGAGGATTGCCAAGTAATAATACAGCAACTGATCATTCAGATTTGTCGAGTGCTTCAGATGGTGAATTGACTCCACGTGATTCAAATGTTGATGATCCATTCAGTTCAACTGCCAATCCATCAAATTCTTCTAGAAAGAAGCATCGTAATCGTCGTGATCATCACTATATCAATTACTTTGCTGAAATTGAACACAAATTCACACAACAACCAAGTTGTGTTGTCAGTGTTTTGGGATTTAAGAATAGTGGAAAAACTCACTTGTTGAATGAGTTGAGTGGATCTGATTTGAGAGTTGGATTGACTCAGAGTACTCCAGCTCTTTGTTTCAAAGTTCCAAAGAATAATCAAGGAAGAGATTGGTTACTTGTTGATACAATGGGATTGAGAGGAGCTGTCAGAGTGGCAGATGTCAAGAGACAATTGAGAGAAATTCAAAAGGAAGGAATGGTTCCTACCTCTGATGAGATTATCGTTCATGAAAATCAACAATTGACAGCTTCAAAAAAGATGCCAACTACTCCACTCTCATCCACAAGCACTCAACAACAAATGTGGATCGATCCAGAAATTATTCAACAGCAACAATGGAATGAGGCCATTAAGAGAAACGTTCGTGAGAAGAGAATGCTCGAAGATACCATTGAGGAAGTTCTGTTGAACATGTCTCACTTTATTCTCTACGTTGTAAATGAAATGACATGGGAAGAACATGAGAAATTGTACGATTTATTGAATAGGAGAGATACTGGTATTAATCCAACCACTGGAAAACCAAGAAAGATTACCGTAGTAGTCGTTCACAATTTTAAAGAGTGTGAAACTTTGGAAGATTTCAACAAGATGGTTCAGAGATATGTTGTCGATGCCTTCCCTGGAGAATTGAGAAGTAAGGAGGTGAATATTGTGAATGGATCCTCTTCGAATGGTCAGAACATTACAGTTGGATTTGCTCCATTCTTTACTTCTGGAAGTGGAAATCGAGTTATTAATCATGTCTTTTTGGCAAAGAAGGACTCTGAAGTTGGACAAAAGTACAATCAATTGACCTATGCTTTGATTCGTATCTGGTTGGCTTCTCAATCTACTGAGAGAATTCACTGCATGACTTCATACTTGACCAGTCACATTCAAGCAGCTCTCCAAAATCACATTACCAACATTAAGGATGTTCAAATGAATTTCAAGATCAAGAAGAGCGTATTGGATGAAAATTCATTGAACAATTCAATTACTCAAATTTTGAATTCAACTCAACCATCATTAAGCATTACCTCATCACATCAGAATTCATCGATGAGTGGTGGCAGTAGTAGTAGTAGTGGAGGTGGTTTATTGAGCTCGTGGTCTTCCATGATTAGAGGAAGTGATAAGAAGAGCACCAATCCAGCTCAAGTTTTGGTTCCACCATCGATTGGTGAATTTATTTTGAAATTTTTACCAGAAGATGATTGTCAATTACAATATTCAAGTGAATCAGAGTTTAATAATGGAAGTAATTCAAATGTTGTGGGAATGTACACTGGTGGTCATAAAAATGATAAACAATAAGATCTTTCGAATAAAATTATTTAAAATAATTAAAAAAAATATTGAATGTAATATTGTGATGACAGAAAAACAGTTGTCAAACTTGGAGAATATCCATTCTTCAGTCTTTCAAAATTGTATTGATTGTGTGAACGAAAACAATCCAGAAAAATTGAAAGAGGTTCTTAGCTCGATCGGAACTTGCTAATCATGAAATTGAAGCATTGATAGATCTTGCGAATAACTTGGGCCACACGGAAATAGTAATCATTTTGAATAATACATTGGATTATGTTTTCGAATTTGATAACGAGGAGATCGAGCACTTGATCCCAAGATTAGTTTCAGTTTCGAATTTTGGTCAAGATGAATTACTAAAATTCTTGAAAAATTATTTAACACAAACAAGGCCGTGGCATAAAGTTATACATTACGATATTAGCGTAAATAATTTTATAGTATTGAATATTAATCCAATAGAATTTCCAATAATCAGATTAACAGATTTTGAAGTATCAAGTTTTGAAGAGATTGGAGGAATTAAGAAATTAGAAAATAATTTTGTTTTTGGAGAGGAAATAGATTCAGATAATATAGAGCATGAATTGGAGAAAAGAGGAATTGATTTTGAACTGATTGATTTAATAATGAAAATTAAAGGTCGCGAACTAACAAGAATGCAATGTCTGAAAATTATAGAATCAATTATTGATTCAAAGAAATTTATTAAGAAGAACACAACTGAATTTTCAGACTGTACGATAATAACTGCAAACTATATAGAGAGCATTTTTCAAATTGCTTTAGATTATTACAAAATTGGAAATTTTGAAAGTGCAAAAACCTACTTTTACAAAATTTTGAAAGATTTGAATTTTTTAACTGGTATTCGGTTACTATTGGCAAATTGCCATTTAAATTTAGGAGAATTTAATGATGCAATTCAATGCATTGAAAACATTTTGTGTATTGACCCTAAATGTAAGGCAGGATTTGTATATAAAATTATAAGAAACCTGTCGATAGGTGAAGGAGGAAAAGCAAGACAAATCTATCAAGAAATGAATTCCTTTCCATCATTAACGGATCCATATTTTGGAGAACTTGAGTGTGATCCAATAGTTTGGAAGAAACTTATCAAGAAGGAAACAATAATTGTGGCTCCCATGTGGGATGAATTTTCAACTATTCGATACATTTTTGTACATTACCTCAATGAAGTACAACATGTTGTAATGCTCAATGGTGTGGATTTGGAAAAACTAATAGAAAAATGTAAAGAAATATTTAATGACCAGTCTTTGGAATATTTAATTGAACCTCTTGGATCTCGTATTGAATCTATTGATCAATTACAACATTTGAGTCATTATACTGTTCTCAAAAAGATGGAAGAAAACAAAGAAAAGCAATTAGACATAATATCACTAAGAGAGCTTAAAGAATGTGTAAATAGTGAAAGTGAATATTTGAAAACAATTCCAATGGATCACTCATATAATTTCGAAGAAATATATAAGAAATTATTAACACATAAGAAACAATATTTAGTGAAAGTCTTGAGGGCTGGTCATGCGTTCAGCGACGACGGTTCAGAAATGAAATTTGTTTTAATGGAGAGATGTGAAGCTGATTTTTCTAAATATTTAGAAAAAAACAAAATATCTAACATTACCGATTTCCTTAACAAGGTTGAATTAATATGTCTCTGTGTTAAGGATTTGCATTCTCTTAATATAGTTCACATGGATACCAAATCAGATAATTTATTATCTAAATTCGTTAATGAGATATTTACATTATTATTCTGTGATTTTGAGGAATCAATTGATGTTTCAGACATGGAGATTTTCAATGACAAAGTTATTATTTCTCTTCCCACAACTGGAACAGACTTTGTAAATTCACCAGAATCTTATTACTGCAAATATAATTTTGGAAATAGAATCATCCACACAAATTTTATGTTTAGAATGGATTCTTGGAGTGTTGGAATTAATATTCTTCTATTAATTCTAAAATTCCTGCTTAATTACAATGGATCTGAAGAGCTTGTTATGAAAAGGATGAAATGTTTTCATGAAAACACCAATCAAGAATATGAAAAACTAATTGGATTTGGTGAATGGGTTGCTGCTCATGATTCACATGAAGCGATTCACTCATTTATTAATGAAGTTATTGATGAACTCGTTCACAAATATCCTGAGCTAAGTGATAGACAAACAACAATGTTACAGGAAACTCTCTGTGGGCTATTGCACAAAGATCCCTCAAAAAGAATGTCAATTGATAAATTGCTAGAAAATTGGAAATTTATTAATCATGATGGACATTACATGGAAGATGTTGACTAAGACCTGAAGAATTTCAATGTGTCACCCAGGTCCATCCATTGACTAACTATTAATCATTTACGATTTGAATTCTTCAAGAAACAACGTGTTTTACAATTTGTTGTAATACAAGTTCGCACTCACATCCAAAAATTTAATCAAATTCAAATTGGAACTTTCAAAAACTCAACAAAAAATAAATTCAAAAAAAAATTCAAAATATTAAAAACAAATGAATAGCAACAATATTACAATGTCTGATGATGCTGTTGATCATGATCCTATGATTTCTTCAGCTTCAGGGGAGGGGGAGAAAATTTATTCCATACAAAAATTATCAGATTTTAAGGATCCGATCTTGCAAATTGTTCGGGAGATGGGAATTGAAAAGTTTGGTGATGATCAGGTGAGAGGAATGTATATTTTCGGATCACAGGCCTATTATTCACAGGTGAGAGATGCTGGATCGATCGAGCCATATGGAGTGACTGATTCGCATGGGAATGAATTGATTGGTGTTTGTTGGAGGAATGATGAAAAGAAGGAGGTGATTCAATATTTGGCAGAATCTGATTTTGATATAATTTTGGTTGTGGATGAATATAAATCTACAGATGAATTATTGGGAGCTTTGGCAAGTGATATGCAAAGCAAGTGGGAGACTCAAATTTCGATCAAGACCTGCTTGGGAGAAGACATTGAGTTTAAATTGGATGTTTCAGTGTATAACACTAGTTATTTCATTTCATACATGCATTATCATCAACCTGTATATAACCAAGCAGTGACAAGTCATTTGATTGATCAGGTTTATGTCATTTATGAAGATGAAAAGATGAGCTATTTCAGAAAGAATTGGGCTATTCATCATTTAAATATTCCTAGATTAATCAGTGCAAATGCAGAAGAATTGGATTATTGTTTCCAAAAAGCAAAGAGATTTTTCGAACTTGCACAAAATGGTTCATATTCTGATGAAAGAGAAAACTATCAAGACGTTTACACTGGTTACTTATCGAGAAGACCTACCCAAGCATTACTAAAAACCTCTAAAAAGAATATTGTTCATGGCAAGAGAAAACTCTTATTTTCCAGACAATTGATGGAAAATAATGAAATTACAGACTACCAAGAGATGAACGATTTTCAAGATCATGTCTTGAGTTTCCCGAATCATAATTGGGATGTATATGAGCAGAATTTTTTGCCTGAGTATGATCAGTTAAAAGTTGAATTCACTGATGATTGTGATGAAGTTATTGCGTTTGGTAAGAAACTTTTGGAAAAACAAAAGGATGTCATTAATTTCTTGAACAAGTTTTGCATTACAGATAATCTTTCTAAATTGAGAGCATCATTCAGGAATGAATCTAAACATATCAAGAAAAACAAAATCAGCTCAATTGAATCCTATGTTGCCAATCTCTTCATGAATGGAATTTACGTTTTAAAACACTTATTTGGAATTAGAGTAGTGCCATTTGAAGCTAGTAACAATTCAGAGATCGAAAATGCCACCCTGTTCCAATGCTCCATCCCTCCAAATGTTGACAACCTTCATCCACACTTAATGGCTCTTGATGGTTGTATCATTAAATTTGACAAGTGCTACTCAATAGTTTCACAAACTTGTGGTAGAACTGTTGATCTGAGAGATTCATCAATACTCCCAAGATTTGATGACTACCTCTATTGCTTCAAGGTTCCATGCGGAAAGAGAGTGAGTCTCTTCCACTACAATAATGAATGGAAAGTGAGCTGTCCTGAATTGGATAATCAAGACTGGATTGATTGGCCACTCCTTAAAAAAAAGGGAGCAAACTGGAGAGAAGATTTTTGGAGAGTTTGGAAGCAACAAAATCTTTCCTTGGATGAGCTTAATAAGAAATCGACTATAATGTTTATTTGGAATGGTGAGCAGCTGACAATGATTGGACAATATGGAGCTGATGAATCAATTTTTAGATTTTTAGATAAACCAAACATTATTCAAGAAGAGAAGGAATTGACCAGTTATGTTCAGGATGGTTTTTCTCTCAAGAAGTGGAAACAGGCCATGATTGAAGAATCTCTCAAGCTCAATCCTAAGGAATATAGTGGATTCCTCTTTATGCAAGATAGCGGACAAGTAGTGTATCATTTGGCTTCTCCACTTCATTACTTGATTCCTAGATTGAAATTGGCCAACAAATTCTACTCGGGTGTGGATGTGCTGAACAAGGATGTGATTGAAAAGTGCACAGATTCGACTCTCCTTCAAAATTCAGACAATGACAGAATTGTCATTTCGTGTGCCGCTTTAGCAGATCACTATGAAGGATCCTTAGTAGAAGATTGCTTTAAATTACTTAATCCAGTATTCCGATGCTACTATTTAATGATTAGAAATGAATTACTCAAAGAAGAAAATAAGGAACACATTCCACTTATTAAGGAAGCTGCTCTCACTCTCGACTATTCTCCACAAGTTGTTGAAATTATTGAGGATGTTTATTACAATGCAGAGAGTTTAGATTACTTTGATACAATGACTGATGATAATTAATTATTCAAATCAATTTCAAAAAGTCTTTTTAAAATTTTTATATAAAAAATGTTCATCGCCATGATGATTTATTAAACATTCTCGATTTTATATTTCCCTTCTTCTCAGAATATCGCAAAAATGCTACTTCTGTTTATTTGAGAAGATTTTATGAAGAAATTGTTGGAGAGATGAGGAATTTAATGCTGATTGTAAAGGATGGCATGTTTTATGAAATATTGACTGATTTGGAGGTTCCTGCCATTCAATTGTTTTGGGAAACGTTGTTTCACATTCTGATAGTCCAATAATTATATCATATTGTGAGGAATATTATTGTGCATGTGATGAGGGCAGTTCAAGAACCAGTTTGGTTTATGGAAATGACTGTCAATTAACTATTAAAATCATTTGAGAAAGGTAAAGACTATCAATAGTATACGTTTATCATGAACATGTAGCCCGTCTAGCTCAGTCGGTAGAGCGCAAGGCTCTTAACCTTGTGGTCGTGGGTTCGACCCCCACGGTGGGCGAATTAATTTTTATATTTGATTAAGAACCAGAATTTTAGTTTATTCTTCAGTAAATGCTATTAATTTACAAGGATGGTGTAACGATTGGTTTTGATGACTTCTTACATGTCTTTCTCTTGATACAAATCTTCTTCTTGATTGACTTGCAACACTTCTTCTTTCCACCAACAAATTTGAATTTCTTACAAATCTTCTTACCCTTTGAACGTTTCAAACACTTCTTATAATACTTCTTCTTGATACATCTTGGTGGAATAATAATTGTCTTGGCACAATACTTCTTCTTTTGATATTTGACACATTTGGAAATAGTCTTCTTGTGCTTACAGAATTTGATGGTCTTATGCTTGGCACAGAAGAATTTCTTCTTAATGAGACAACACTTCTTAACTGATTTTCTCTCCTTACAATATTTAACCTTCTTATACTTGGCGCATTTCTTTGCCCATGAAACAATCTTGCACTTTTTAACATATCTACATTTGGCGACCTTCTTATTGTAAGAATCAACAGTGTATTTGTCGCAGACCTTCTTCTTTTCACACTTCTTGATTGGAACCTTCTTGAATTTCTTACAGACCTTCTTATATCCCTTCTTGACGCACTTGTTGATAATCTTGTACTTGGCACAGAACTTCTTGAAACCCTTCTTGATGCAAATCTTCTTAGTTCCATAAGAATCGCAAACTTTCCAATACTTCTTCTTGGCGCATCCAACAGTCTTGTATGCATGCAAGACACACTTCTTTGTTGCCTTACTGTACTTGTCACATTTGGAATATTTCTTATGTTTGAGACATTTGCCAGCACCGACAATGGCATATTGATCACAGACCTTCTTTTGACCGACGAGTTTGTGTTTCAAACACTTCTTAATCCACTTGTGCTTTAAGCATTTTCTCTTACAATGCTTTGGCTTGTGATACTTGTCAACTACGACAACTGGAGGTTTAGTTTGATAGCTGTCAGTTGCTTGAACTGAGAGGATTGCGAGTAAGAGTAGAATTGCAATTGAAAAGATTAGATTTGTTTTCATTTTTTTTGTTGGATAGCATAGTTCAACCACCATGGTGCTAATTTAAACCATTTCGAATAGTTTTTCATTTGGAACAAACTCAAAAAGTTAGATGTAAGGTTCCAAATTTGGATGGAAATCTGATTTCCCCTAATGAAACCTTCACTGATTCACTTTGTCAAAATTTGATTCAATTTACAAATTAACTTTTCGACTCATATTTCAAATTACAAAGTTTCGGTCACAAATAATTAGTTTCCTATATTTCAACAGATAAAATCATCCTTTGGTTGCTCATACATTGAATAATATTAAATAGTCGTAGAAAACTATTCAGTTTTTTACTTTTTAAATCGTTGCATCATTTCAGTAAACAATGTAGTTTGTCTAAACGATGCAAATAAATAAACTAACATGGAAGTTTTCACATCCATTTCAATCTCATCAAATAATTCCTCAATAAAACCCTTCTCTTCAATTAGGGTTTTCATTCTATCTGTCAACTTTCGACTCGTGTTAATGTGAAACATGGCTTCATCATTCAAAAATGTTTCCACAATATATCTAGCTTTAGTTTCATACTCTGGGATAGTTGTTACCATTTCAGATGCTGGCAAACTAATGTCCTGAAGAATTTGCTCTTCAGACGAAAGTAAATTTTGACAAGTTGATTGAGATTTCAATGACTTGACAAGGAATTTGTAAATATTCACCTGTTCGAGGAATAAAACCAATTCCAAACTGTACATGTTACTCAAGTGAGCTTTGAAATAAGTTCTCATTGTGGCATTTTCGAGGACATTTGACATGCTAATGTAAGATGTGGAAATTGAGGAAGAGGATGAGCCAACTGATGATGTGGAAGGTCTACCGCCGTTAGCTGGCTGTGGAACTTGAAGGGTAGGTGAGGTTGGTGTGGAGGAGGTTGGCTGACCTATTTGTAAATTATTCGAAAGTTCACTAGAAGGTAATTGAACTCGTTTTTGCCGAATTGATGAAAAAACTTTCTTCAAATCTGGGTATAGCTTGATAAGATTAGGTAAAAACTGCTCCACTTCTTCAATTTCACTCTTCTTATACGAAATTACCATTTCCTTATCATCTCCTTCTTCCTGAATCGTTTCTTCTTTTCTATTCGAAAGATTAAACACAAACTGACCCAAATCAGGTCTATCCAACAAATTCTTATAAAAATAACTAGTCTCCACTTGTCCATTCCTCACAATATGCATCCCAAAAGTTGACACCAGCTCCATATCTTTGATTTCTGACAGCGAAGGCAAAAATAATTTTCTCTTTTCCTTGACAAGTAATTTCAAAATCGTTGGCATGGCTTTCATGTGCTTTACAACACTTGCCTTGTCAATCAACAGCATCCTCTTGGCTTGTGTTGAAATTTTACAATGAAACAGTTTCGTATGTGAAATGTGCTTTCCAAATTTGGTTTCGTCTTCTTGATGGCAAATGACAGGAATAATGTTGAGCATTAGTAAAGAAGGGAGGTATTCATCGAGATTGTCGATTAATTTTTGGCACATTGGACAACCAAACCATTTAATGGAAATGATGAGAATTTTGTGTTTGGACGAAAGTTGAAGAATCGAATGGCCAATCGGTTGGACAATCATGGTTTCGAATAATTCTAGAGAGCCTACAGAGGTTGTGGTAATGTTGGAAAGGTTGGATGTGCTTGCGCTGGAAACTTTGCTGTGGTTATCCGAGACGCAATCCTTGCATTCTGTTTCGTTCATGGTTTAGGCAAGTTTCGTAAAGTTTTTTTTTCAAAATGATTCTTGAGCAAGTGCGTGATAACGAGCTCTAACCGCAAAAGGCCATTCGGGTAAAAGAGATTTTGAAATTGAATGTTTGCTTTTCACACTACAAATCTAGAGTTGAAAATAACCATTCAGCAAGACTCGACAAATTGTCGACCGCTCTTTGCGCCAAATTTTTTTTTGCCACTTTTTGAACCAATTAAAACCACTACTGTTTAAAATCTTCCAGAATTTTACAATTCCGATTATTACAGTTATTATTTGTTATATATTAAACATTTAACATGCTTTTAATTTGATTATATGAAGTAACAATGTTTAATATTTAAATAATAATTATTATTTCTAACAATAAAGGCCTTTGATAAAATTTTATTTGATGGCACATTTTATTGAATTTTTGAAAGTCGATTCCGGAATCGCTTTGACTACCACAACACTGGCACGGGGAATCGACGATCAAATATTTTTAATAGAAGACATCATCATTCATCAACCCATCATCATCACCATTCACAACCAATCCATATTCCTGGGATTGTTTGAGTTCAACTGTTCTTTTAGGAACATCTTGGGATGGAGCAAGCTGTGGAGATATCACTTCAGTGTTAATGTTATCTGGTTTTTGAATGAGAACATTGGTTGGTTTTCGGATAGGCAGAGTAAAGTTGGGAGACATAGTTAAAATGTCTCTTGTCCAATCTTTTCTTATTACCTTACCAGTCCTTCTTTCTAACCGGACAAATAGTACTTCTTCACAAGTAAAAGATAAATACAACTTTCTAAGTTTCTTCAGCATGATTTGACAAACTTGGAATAAATCATTCCAGTCACAAGATTCTGTCTTCTTAATAAATGATTCATAATTAAATTCCTTATGTTCTTGCTCATTATCAAGATCACTAGACTCAAGAGTATGGGAAGCAGGTTTGGATACAGTTTCCACGTTTGGTTTTGAGGAGCCAGCTTGAGCTTTTTTGGTACCAATAGACATTTTACCCTTACTTGTCCCTCTTTCCATAATCAAACAATCTAATTGATGAGAACTTTCTACACCTTGATTTGAAAGAGGAACCAGACTTCCATAAGTTGAAAGCAAGTCATAAAGATGTGCAGTGGCAATATGAATGTAATCTCCTATTCTTCCACTATCAGCTTTTTGTAGAACAAAAAGCAATCTCCATTCATTTAACTCAGAATCAAAATTTTCCCAATCCTTTAATGATTTCTTTTCCAAATCTTCATTTGTATAATACAACCACTGTCTAATTGATTTGTATTTTTTCCAAATATTATACATATTTGAGTTTGAATCTTTCAAAAATCCAAAAACTTTATCAAAAGATCCAAAAAGCTTATTACAATGCCCGCCAGATAACATAAATGAATATTCCTTAACTGTGAGAGCATTTTCTTCTTCGATTGTATCTTTCACTAAAACACTTGATGAATGAAAATTAAAATCAGCAAAACCTTCTAATGAACAAATATTGGTTTTCATTTGCTTTTCAAGTTCCGAAGTTTTTAAGGTCATTTTCAAAATATATTCAGTAATTCGTTCATCCATATGCAAAATGCATATGAAAATATTGGATGATTTAACACCCATTTTGTGTTGTAAATTTCTACTATTTTCAGAACAAATCCCAGACAATGAATTTTGTTTCTTAATGTTGCAGAAAGGACAAAACATAGCATGTTCTTTCAATAATGAACAATATTCAAGTGATTTTAAATCACTCACCCAATAGAATTCTAATGGAATTGTTTGGGTTGTATTTTCAAGTGATAGTGTAGCATCATGCTCGTTTTCTTTGATAGTAATATGTTTGGTAGAAAGTTCAATAACTTCTTTTTCAATTTCAGTTATATAATTAATAATATCTTTCTCTTCACCTATATACATTAGAATTGGGAAAACACAGTCTCTTTCTTGTGTTCCGAATAAATGTAAATTTAAAATATTCAAAGTAACTACAACTGTTCGTAAATTTCCAAATTCTCTACCATCCATTGACAATTTAATCATTACTTTTTCTGGTAATTTATCTACACATACTTTATCATTCTGTTTTCTTGTGTGAACAGTATGTAA